TTAATACTTGATGATATGATATTCAAGTATACTTTGAGCATCTGCAGAAATTTCATAATGCATTGATAAATACTTTAGCCAACACAAAAGCGTTGACTCGGATCTTAGCATTAGGAAATGGAAAAAAAAAATTAACAATCAGTTAAAATTGAATATTAAATAGAAACTAAAAATTGATTTTGAATTTGCAAATGGTTTTTCTAATACAAAAAGAAAATTAATTAGATCTTAGCATTTTGAACTGTATATAATTAAAAATTTGACAATTTGTGAGAAATCTGATACTGAAGTACCTCTTTGACATAAATAACAATAAGTGTATTGCATCTATGTTGAATTCTCTTTCAGAGGTTTTCAGTTTTGTAAGACCTTTATAATATTATATATCAATGTATGTAAACTCTTGTTGTTAAAGTAAGACTCTATATAAGCATGCAAAGTTCATACATATGTGTGGTTTTCTTCAAAAGCCAAAAAATATCTCTTGCATTATGTAAAATCAAAAAACTTTCTTCATCAAACCAAGAACACTACATGAGTACTTGCCAAATTAATATCAAAAATGGCTTTTGGACTTGTCTATCTATTGTATCAGATTTTTTTCTTGAGTGTTATATATTGAGATTTTAATGGATTAAAACTAGATTTGTGATTAATTGATTGATCAAAAAGCGTTAATAAGATACTCAATTTTATTAAATTGGTTATGCATTAGGATTCTACTTTTCTTTCAACTTGTGAAATTTTTAGTTAGAGATTCGGATGAGTTTGTCTCAATGCTTAACAAATATAAAAGGTTCAGAGATCACATGCAAAGCATAGAGTTGCTCATTAATTTTTCATGTTAATATTCATAAATAAAAAAATGGGTGCTATTAATATATTGAGACATTTTTTCAAATTCAAAGAAAAAAATTATGAAAATTTGGATTTACTAGCTTGAGATGTATGTAATATGTTCTTTTGAAAATTGAGTATCATTATCGGCATGCAACTTGATTTCTAAAATATATGTACGTTGTTAGATTATATTGAGTATACATATTGCTGATATATCTGGAAGCAAAGATTATAAAAAAGATAAGAAATGTTGAATAATTTAGAATGTAATATATATAAATAAATAAATAAATATGAAAAAAATTCATATTTTTTATATTTGTACTAACTCTAAAACATAGAGTCTGCCCGTTTGAAAACATTTGAATTTATCTACTTGATTCTACACTTCGAGTCATGAACTCAATTGACCACCAAAAAAATAATATTTATTCCTATGTCTTCTTTCATCATAATTCAATTAAATTTATTAAATTAGTCATTTCTTATATCTTGCTATTCTCGGAAAAATTTAAACGCTACATTATTAAAATTTTAGGAAATTTCATAATCTTTAAAAATTGCTAAACATAAAAAATCTTGAATGCCTAATGTAAACTAGAAAGCTAAAAAAAGTTGCTTGTGCCATTCTTTTCAGAATCTTAAAGCCTACTATTTTATATCATTGAAATGAAAATTAGATAATGACATATTAATTACATTGAAAGAATCAATAATCTACTCAATTGTAAGTAGTAAATGATGACTCATTCAATTTTTTGTGGTATAATAATCAATTATATTAAATAATTACAAAAATTTAACATTTAATAGTTACAAGTATAACAAAAATACTGGTAAATATTAATTTTTATATCATATCTATTTTTAAATTTCAAAATAATTTTAAGTATCATATAAATCTCAAATTGAAAATATTTCACTTCAAGATCCATAAAAAGAAAGAATAAATTACATGATTTAATTTATGATCATAAATGTAACCCTAAATATAAATTTTCAAAAATAATTCTAATCTAATTCCAATCCAAGAAAAAATATGTTTTCACCCGATTGATATTTCTTCTGTTATTTTTCTTTCTATCTTTGCATTCTAAAATAAATCTTCAACACCATATGAGATAAACAAATTAGAAAAGCTTCGAGTTAAACCGTTGTGACTCATGCCACTTCTTGATGTTATGTGGTATGAGCCACAACACTAATTATGTGTAATTACAATTCATCACAATCAAAAATTTCATTTTATGATTACAAAAGCATCATCCAATATACCAAAATAAGTTTTCTCATCTTTATTAATAATTAAACATTTATTTTTCACAATTATTGACTTATATACTTGAGTTTTGTTTCTATCTAAAGCAACAAGACAACACTCTATATGCAATGTAATGACACATTACTTAAACATATATAAAATGCAATATCACGTATATATATATATATTTATTTATTTATTTTCTATAATGATGTCATGCTAAAATAAAATTTTCACACTACAGTCTAAATTGTTATTTTAGTAGTATACTTAAATAAAAATAACAATAAAATTTCTAGAAACATATATTTTTATTCAAATTACGCATGTTCATATGATTATTAAAATTTATCATTATTTTTTATACATTGAACATATTTGTAAGATTAATGCATTGTTTTGGAAGAATAATTATTATTGAAATGACATATATCATAATCTATAAAGAGGAGTGCATGGGAAAAACATTATACATCATAACAATGAAAACATGTGATGTCAAAATTTTCAAAGATGAAAAAATCTTGCTCAATTGATCATAATGTTTAGAGTACGTTGTTATCGCAAGTAAAACTGCAACCTTCAGATCTAAGATGAGCACTAATGAATGTTTTAAGATGCACTAAGGATAATGTATTTCTTCTTCATATTTAAAAAGACAATTCAATCTACATGATTCATTACAACATAATAGAGAAAATCTTATTTATTGTGGCGAGACAAAAGCGCCAGTTCTTTTTTATTTTAATTGGGAATAAAAGATAAAATATGTTCCATTGAATGATGATAAGCACACTTTACATTGTATATTAGCGGATTAAGTTATTCTTTATATTATCGGGATGAATGTTCACGGATATTGGCTTGACCTTTTTGAGTTGCATGAGCTACGTTATCTAAAGCAATGAGATCTCAAACGACTCCTTGTACTTTTATTGATGGGATTAGGCTCTGAAAATATTCCACTTGCATGATGTTGGCTACGGTTTAGAGTGTGTATAAGTCAGATGAATGACTTTTCATATGTCCTATTCTGCAGTCTACTCATGTAGGGGTATAATTGTATTGAACTCGAAAGTATATTCTTGTAAGTTGCGTAGTGTTGTTGTGGAAGTGTGAGATCCAATGTTACACAGTTAGTGCTTACACTTTTCCAAGGCTAGATCCTTGCACTTTATATGTGCCAAGGGACTCTCTTCTTCGAGGAGAAGTTTGCCACACGCTTGCATTTCACATCTACGTGCTTTTCGGGCTTTGTGCTGAAGTCGATGAATGTCCACTGGCATTTGACTTCGTACCTTTGACCCAGCAGATACGTAGCCTCATCATAGCTCCTTGTACAGTCTACGGATCAGGGAGTGCTTTCTTGCCACCACCACCACCTTCAGCCGTTCACATTCGAGGGTCGTGTGCGAGAGCGAATCGGGGAGCTCGGCACCTCACCCTGACGGCCCAGCCCAGTCTCCATTCAGCTGAGACCCCCGTCCGATCCAAGGCTCTCAAGTGCACGATCACCGCTCGATTGAAGTCAGACTTGACTCAGGCCTCCGTTCACGCGGAGTCCCACCGACGGGCGAAAACGGCGACGGCAGAAAAAGGCGCCGCAATGGTATACAGCAGGAGAGGTTAATCGCGTCGACTGTTACGTTGCACCTTCTTGTGCTGGTTGAGGGGCAAGCAGCTAGTTGACTGCGGAAGACTAGAACTTAATGGATACCGACTCCAAGTCAGGCATTGAAATTGGCCGCAGCCCGCTATGTCACTCGAGAGTGGCGGATGTAGTGTAGGTAGGTGTTATTCTTTTAGACTGCAGGCGCTGCACATGTGAAATTGGAACGCCCTGTGAAGATGTGACTGTACCTTTTATCGTTTCTGAGGTGAACAGAGTTAGCAGTACGGTACGAACTTCATGAATATGGAGGTGCGAACTTCCGCCCCGCAAAGTATTGCTTAGGCTGGTAACGGATATGTAGATCCCTGTTTGACATTTTTGAGCTTCAGATAAACTGAGCCCTTCTGCAGAGAACCATCAATTTTGTTTCGAACACGAAGCTTTTGTAAGAAAATCTTAGAACACGATGGTCCATGATTGTACAGTTTTTCATTTGGCCGTATAACATACTGGTCTTAAAAAGTTCGTTCTTGTATCTAGTTGAAAATGCACTAAAATCCTGACGGGCCTGGAAAAAAGTGATATAATGTTTGCAAGTACAAGCAAGTTCTTGAGTACTGTAAGTGCTTCACGGAGCATATTTCGACCTCAGATTATAAACAATACTACAATATGCCAAGAACCTAACATAATTACAACTCAATGGCACATCCAGATGTCAACTTTATGCGCATGTAGGACAGGGGTCAGCGAAGAAATTCAAGACCCGTGTTCGCTTGGCGCACGACACGCACTTCGAGTCTTCCGTTTTATTTCATGTTTGAGCCAATTCCTCTTGACTCGGACTGTTCAGGCCTTTCTCTCACTGTTCTTGGCCTTCTTGGCCTCTCGGCGTTTTTTCTGTCGTTTTGATTGTGGCGCTCGTGACGATGAACTTGCTGCACACTTGCCATACTCGCCACGTACTTGTTTCTCGCTGCAATCACCTACCGAAGACTTGTTCATGCCTTGCATGGTAACCGGTAACGGCGGTCATGTGATGCACACGAAGGGATCGTTCTCTCCATGTCGGTGAACTGAGACTTTTTCGGCTTTCTGACTTCTCCAGTGCTCCTCGTTCGTGCTCAGAGAGTCTTAATGACAGAATGCTCGGAGGTGAAAAGTGAATCCCGTCCAAGAGTCACTAGCCCAAGTGACGTGCGATAGTGTTGAGTTGTGGTAGGGTCTACGCAATCCAGTTGAAGAAGATCGAGTTCGATTGGCTCAATAGAGTTTTCGATGGAGGGTTTCAGCTCGAGGAACAATTAACCGCAGCTGAACTTGCTGAGCTGAAATCGCTCGACTGAGTGCAGGCAAAACGAACTCAGCCTTGCGATGGTTTCATTAATTGTCTCAGAGGGCTGCAAGTCGTCGATTCGAGATATTATAACATGATTCCAGCGTGTGGATTAGATTCTTCCCTTCCCCTCTGTCATACTCTGCGAGTAGACTTGAAGACAGTGAAATGAGATTTTTTCACCTACCTGAGCACTTATCTTCACTGTATCGCGATCCACAAACTAATCTCGCAAATCGACGTCGAGAAACTGCTGAGTAGTTGGACATTGGGCAGTATAAATAGCTCGGTGGTCCTCCGCTCAAGGACATGTCACCTTCAGACAACTTCATATAGGGCGTATTCGGAAGGACGGTTCCGACACGATACAAAGAAATTGCAGACACGGAGGGAAACCTTGACGCATTTTCTTCTCGATCCATCAATTCAGCAGCGATTGAATCACTCAGACAGGTGGGAGAGATCGATCTGTCTATTTCTGGTACTGGCTCACCTTATCAACTGTTGGTGGAATCGAGATCGGGGAATCGATTCACGACTCCCCGACGGCATACTCAATAGCACCAGTAGTAAACCGAGCCCAATGTGTTCGCCATTAAGCTTTTCACCGGTATTCAGAATACGTGCTTACTTCCGAGTTGCATAAAGCGTAGCTTATGTGCTAAGAGGTTGCATGGAGAGCTAGAATCGAGATCATCAGCCTCAAGATTCTGTATTTTCTACAGCAGTCAGAAGTCAGAAGTTCTGTCGAGCATGATGGGTGCATGGCCCGATGGCATTCTTCCAAATAGGAATATGCAGTTGGAATCTGTTTCAAGATGAGGTTCTGCCATGCCGAGATTTTGAGAATGGTCCTTTCAATACTGAGCGCGCTCTTGGTATGCTTTGAGACGCGATAGATTCTTCTCCTTCTCAGATCAGATGTGTCTTCTGATTGTTTTCGCAGGATCCATCCAGCAAAATAAGTCCACGTGATTCCAAATTGCTCTGAAGATGGATTTACACACAGCAAGCAGATTGAAGAGCGTAGTGGCATCTTCCAGTTCAGGTCTCTCGTCTTCGTGCGCACATACAACCGGTAGAGCTGTGGCAGTCAAATCTCAGAACTTGGGAGCGAAATTCTCTTCGATCAGCGGGAAATCTCTGAAGGATGCCGTGACGATCACCAGCACAAACCTGAAGTGCAATGCGGAAGGGAGGAGATCCAAGAGCTTGCAGCTGCAGGCGGAGCTCGGTAAAAAGAGCAGCTCGACTCAGACTGTACAAAAATCGAAGAAGGATCCACACTCTGTAACGCTGAAGGGCAAGTTCCAACTTTCTCGTGCGATCGGCCCGACGGGAAGCCCACCGAAGATCGAGTTCCCCGTCTTCCAGAAGAACGTCGCGTTCACTCTCGTCAGCACACACGTCGATGGTCAGTTTGAATCCTTTTTTGAATCGGGTGCAGTAGGGCTCGAGGTTGACTTGCTGGATGCAAAAGCAAGCTCGTTTTCTTTGAAATATTTGCAGTAAGTGACATTCAATGCTGACAGAGGTGGAGCAGATCGTTCCCATCAATAATGCATATACGTGAAACTGGTTTATTTTTCCGGAAACAGGGCACGGAAAGTTGAAGATGAGTGAAAGGACTCGACTCGAAGAATGCTGGAAGGCGCTGGATTTGGAAGATGGTTCCTACGACATCGCGTTCTGTGTTCCGCGTGATTTCGGAGAGCCCGGTGCGATACTCGTTGACAGTGTGAATAGCGAGGAATTCTATATTCAGTCCCTGACTCTGAACTCTCATGACTCGCGCACGGAGTACGAATTCGCCTGCAACTCTTACATCAACAAGAAGAGTCCCACCAACAAACCGAAGATCGACGATCAGATATCCGACACAGATCGCATATTCTTCACTAACAAGGTGACACTGCCTGCTCTCATGCACCGACCATCTCACTCGGGAACTGCATTCGCAGACCGCACTGGGTTTTGGGCCCTGTGCATCTCTCTGCATCTTCTGGATTGTGGTTCCGATCCATTCTTTATTTGAGACTTATGAGCGTCGCAGGTTCCCAGTCTGAAGCTCCCCATTACAAAGCCTTCGGAACACTACCTTTGCATTGCCTTCCTTAATGTTCGCCTCTGCTACTGCTGCTGCTGCTGCTGCAGGTTTACCTTCCCTGTGATACGCCCCCGGGGCTTCGGAAACTGAGGGCTCTGGAGATGGAACATCTGCGGGGAGATGGCACCGGAGAAAGACAAGTTGCCGATCGGATTTATGACTACGACGTCTACAACGACTTGGGCATCGTCGGAGTAGCCGAGCGCCCGACGTTGGGTGGTCCCGACAGACCTTATCCTCGAAGATGCAGAACAGGCCGAAAAATCGATCCAGGTGAGCCATGAACAATTAGATAGATCATGATTCTTGTGACATAGTGGCATTGCTGCACCATGCTGCAGATCAGTCCGAAGTGAGTCATGAATTTCAGTGGATAACATATTTCTCACCGGTGCCGAGGAAAATTTTGTTCCTTTCAACAATTGAACGATGCAATTTCAGAACATTCCGCTCACTACTGCAATATTCCCTGCAATCTGAAATGACGTCACCTCGTGGACTCTATACAATGTATCTTTAATTTGTCACGTTTATCATTCCTACTCTTATCTATTAATTCTAAGTACGAAGTAATTAAGATGAATTTCGCCTGGATCAGAGAGCGGCATGGAGCAGCTTCCTGCTGCTGGTGCGAAGAGTTACATTCCCCGAGACGAGGATTGGAACGGATCGAAGACCAAGGATTTCAATGTTGACGGTCTCACGGGACTGAGAGCGACTTTGTTGCCCATACTTCGAGAGAAATTCGACGAAACTCCAGATGATTTCGACACTTTCAAGGAAGTGTACAACCTGTACAACAAAGGAATAGAAATCTTCCCCAGAGACCCAGCTCTCAAACCGACCGAGAAGGATGTCGCAGCTGTTCAAAACTTTCTCGAGTCGCATTTATACAAGGACACTGGCGGCGTTCCTAATGGCAACTTCGACGTGATCAAGTATCCGATTCCGCAACTCCTTCAAGGTGAGTTTAATCCACACGAGTCCCGGATCGACTGCAATTGCATTACCCACTTGCTTGCACTGGTTCAGACGACGCCCAAGTAGTGTTCCGCTCGCAATTGATTGCAGTCCACTATCTCGGTTCAAAATCAGAGTGAAGCTGACTATAATCTAAACCACTGCTTCTGAACAACAGATGACCCCTTCGCCTGGGCGGACGACGAAGAATTCGCTCGTCAAGCCCTTGCGGGTCCAAATCCGTCCGTCATCAGGAGAGCACAGGTCAGACGAATGAAGCATTGATCTGAATTTCTTCGATTCCATTCGGTCGAGTTTCTGAAAGGTGTCATCTTCGTTCATGATTTAATTTGAAATAGCATCGATGGAGAGCCGAAGATGATGTGTCTTACATGCGAACTCGATCTGCCCTCTTTTCGTCTTCCTTCATTCACAGTTTCCACCGACGAGCGAGCTTCCCGAAGACGTCTACGGTCCAGCCACCGCTCTCACTGCAGAGCACATAGAACCATACCTCTGTTCCAATGGCAAGATGCTGACTGCGTCTGAGGTAATTTTAAAGCTCATTCCATCGCCGTATCGACTTCAATGCTGGGAAGAAAAGTCGGAGTGAGGCTCGGGTGTTACTTGTTTCACATTTGTCGTGTCTTCTAAACCATCCAGCTCACGTCGTGCTTGTTCGGTGGATGGCTTCAGGCTCAATGCGCAAACAGGCTGTTCACGATCGACTACCGAGACATTTACCTCCCGTACGTGACGAAGATCAGCACACAAACGACTACGAAGACGAAGAGGCGGATATACGCACCTCGCCTCATATTCTTCTTGACGGATGACAACAAACTGAAGCCGGTGGCGATCGAGCTCTCTCTACCTCCTCAAGATGGCCAGAAGGGATCTTACAACAGGGTCTTCACCCCACCCAAGGACGAAAACTGTATCGATTTCACGTGGAGTTTGGCCAAATTTCACTTCAGCTCCGTCAACTTTGGGTTCCATGGGCTCATTTCTCACTGGTGAGTAGCGAGCAACCTGATGGATAGAGGACCATCTGATCATCGCGCATTCATTGCATTGTCATCGAGAAAATCTTCGTCAGATGTCAACCAGAATCGAGTGACGAGGCCGATGCAAGCCTGAATGAGGAGGTCTTCCATCTAGGTATCATCTATGGGGATGAAAGTGTCGACGTTTCAATTTAGACACAAAAGTGAGGAAAGTGCTGCAGGTGAGGGAGGTCTGGAGGTAGATTCGTGTTATGGACATGAACTTGAACAATATGCACTGACTGACAGTCGGCTGTGATTGTGGGACCCCCGTGCTATCAGGCTGAAAACTCATGCTGTCATGGAGCCATTTCTGATCGCCACCAACAGACAGCTCAGTGCAATGCACCCCATCTCCGTGCTCCTGTCTCCGTGCTGGACGAACACCATGCGCATCAACGCCAACGCGCGGGCCACTTTGATCAACGCCGCACCGGTCGGATCGCTCGAAGCGAGCTTCACCCCAGGGCGCTACAACATGGAGCTGAACTCCGTGGCGTATGACAAACTGTGGCGCTTCGACAAGGCCGCATTACCACAAGATCTGCTCGACAGGTATTGAGCTCCGCCCTCTTGGCGCTCAGCTAGAGAATGAAAGCGATCAAATTTGCAAACTCAGGCATCCCTCCGGGCGATCTGTTGGTGTCAGTCATGTATCTCTGAACTCATCTCTTTTCATTGACTGGGTGGACTGCACCTTTGACAGGGGAATGGCAGAGCCCGATTGCAACGAGCCAGGAGGAGTCAAGCTCGTGTTCGACGACTACCCATTCGCCAAGGACGCGCTGGACGTATGGAGCACAACGAAAGAGTATGTGAGCGATTACTTGAGTCTGTTCTACTCGTGCGACGAACAAGTGCACGAGGATGAGGAGCTGCAGGCGTGGTGGAAGGAGATTCGGGAGGTCGGGCACGGAGACAAGAAAGACGAACCGTGGTGGCCATCGTGCCGGACCAAGGAGAGCCTCGTGGACATTTTGACCACCATCCTCTGGATCGGAATCAGCCACTCGCCGGTGAATTTCGGCCAGTACGCCTACGGAGGGTTCACGCTCAACTATCCGCCCTTAACTCGCGAGCTGATCCCCGAGCCCAACACTCCGGAGTTCAAGGAAATGATGTTCAATTTCGAGCGATACGTGCTCAAAACCACGGCAACCCCCCAGCAGGCCGTGACGATCATGACCACGATGATGGTTCTATCGAACCACGCCGAGAGCGAAGAGTACATCGGCTCGAGGAATGAGGCCAATTGGACCTCGGATCCGAAGGTGAAGGCCGTGTTCGAGAAGTACGCCGAGCAAGTGAGAGGCATCGAGAGGAAGATCGAGCAGAGGAACGCCGACACGAGCTTGCACAACCGACGAGGGGCTCTCAAGACCCCCGGGTACACGCTCATGTATCCGTCTTCCGGACGAGGACTGACGGGTAAAGGAGTCCCATGGAGCATTTCGATCTGATCCTTCGACTCTGAATTGTGCATTGCAGTGGGCACCGGTTCACCGGTGCCCACTGCATCTTAACCGGATGATCTGCAATCGATTATTTTGACAGTCCACGTGGACAAGTGGATAGCCATGTACTGTATGTAGGAATGTGTAGAGGTCAGAGCCAGCCCCGTCGGAAGTTCAGAACATAAGTTCCGACCTTTATGTGATTTATCAACTCAATGAGCAAATGCCTTCTGAAACCCCAAATCGCGAATAGCATGCACTTCTTCACATCTTTTACCTGTTGTGCAAATCGCTGCCGAAATTTTTCTCCACACGGTTTTTATCGAGTCTCGCACTGAAACCTACACCACTCTGTACATATCTGTTCACAGAATGCAGCTGACAGATACACCTTCGTGGCTGGGCAATCCGTTCATTCGATGTCCAAAGCTTGTTTTATAGTTGGATTCATGAAGTAACAGAATGTATCATATCAAAGACGGGCAAGACCTCTCAACCCCGTAGCCCTCATGGGTCAGGAATAATAATGCACGATGGAGAGGCGGCTCAGCATCTTCGACTCCATCCATCAAGCCAGCACTCCGACTCTGAGGAGCCCACCACCCGTTGAGCATGAAATAGGGGCGATAGAGGTTACACGCTTGAACTCGCTGGATTTCAGGTCTACTGCAGAATGTTGTCGGAACACAGATACCAACAACAAGATTAACGTCAAATACCTGCAATCCAATTCCAATATAGGTGAAAAAATTGTTACTTGAAGATTAAATTGCCACATTGAAGGAGTTAGTTTGGTGCAAGATGGGATTCAGATAACATATGGGGCACAACCAGCGATCATCGACAAGGAGGACAGGAGTTTCAGAAATATCATCCAAAACGAGTTTGAGAAAACCGTAAAGTAATTTGTGTATTCATATGAAGTCATTTTGTTTAAATAAGAGTCAAAAAATTATAATCGTAAATTATCAAACTTTTGATCATAGTGTAGGGGAAAAATTACAGTAACAGCAAAAGTGACTTTCCATCACAATGTTTTCGTCAAATGAACATCTGCATTGCTTCTTCAAGTTAGTAGTACATGTCTACTATATATTTGACATATGGAATCAGGCTAAAATATTGAAAAACAGGTGCAACAGGTATGAATAAAAGAAACCTAAACAAAATATGATAGTCTGTAGTAGGTTGTGTTTTACAAACAGTCCATTGGGAAGAAAAATAACTAATGCATTTCTATAGCATCTTTGATAGATAAATAAATAATAATTTGTTATATTTAAACAATTTTGTGATTAGTGGTGATGATGCATTTTACAAGTATCAATTTTTTAATATTTATAAAACAATAAACATGTAAATTTGAAAAATAAAAATTTTAGAATTAAAAAAAAATTCCCTTGAATTTTCTTTCCAATATATATATTTTTCCAATAATTAAACAGGAATAATTATATACTATTAACTTTATTTTTTAATGGATTGATGACATGGCAATTTATGGATTGATAATGTATAACTTTCAAGTAACACACAAATCAACACATTCAATTTTGATAACATTAAAAGTTAGAGATATGATTTTTTATTTATATTTTCAAATTTTCATTTTTAAAATCAAGATATTCAAAATCTTTACATCTACACAAATTTTTGGCATCTCAACTGTAGATCATACACAAGAGATACATGAAAACAACTTTGTGGTTATATTAACACAATTGTTATATACCAAATTTGTAGAGAAAAAAAATTATTTTACTTTAGTTATTATTCATACATTAATTTATATAAAATATAATAAATTATTTATTTATTTATTTACACACTTTTTGACCAGATTCACACCTTTTTTGTCGGTCCAATTTTAAACAGAAGAAATATGAGTTCGTCTTTTTATCAGCTCAAGTACTTATGACCTCATCAACTACAGACTCCACACTTGGGTTTTTCACGTATTCAAAGAGAGACTTGTTTCTGGTAGTCCTGCAAGTTTGACGCAGTATTGAATTATTGCCAAGGGCTCCTGAACTTGAACATGAGGCGTATCCAGATCTGTTTGAGGTTGAAATGACTAAATTTTATTTCCAAATTTACACCTGTTTGTCTATATCAGTGATTCACACTTTTTAGACTCCAATTTATTTTGTATAAAATCGAATAGGAAAAAAAGATAATAATCTAGCCAAAAAAAATGTAAATATAATTTTCCATAATAAATCATATCATCAATAATTTTTGTTTGATCATCATCCAAATGTGATATTAAATCATATGAGATGTGTAAATACTGTAGTATATTAAATTTATTATCATTATTCAAGAAACATTTCAAAAGTTTTTTTTTAAACGTATAGATTAATATTACATATTACGTTTTATTTATGTTGTTGCTGCTTGTCACAAACATATCATTAAAAATTTGGATTAAATAATATGTAATATAACTCACACCAATTTTTTTCATGTAATTAGATGTTGAACTTGCAATGGAACTTTATTGATCATGTAGCAAATGTCAAAAGTTTTTAACTGTAATTTCAAATTGTGTCACGATCTCATCTTTGTTTTATTTTGTTTATCTTCCTTGCATGTTTTGATGTAGAGATAACATTTTGCGCGTTACGAATATTTGTCATATTTCCAATTTGTATGGTATACTGTAGTTAAAACATTTATTTTTTTATTGATTAATTTCACAAATATTGTTCCAATTCGATGAATTTAGAGATTTTCTCAATATCTAGGGTTTTACATTTATTTGGTATATAATGAATGTGAAGATTATAAAGGAAACAAAAAATGACAAAAACTACAACCATAGTTTGAAAAATTCCGTGCCAAATTCGTGCGACGTTACCTTCACTCACCGCTAGAAGATGAAATGCGTGTAGAAATTTTCGTACAGAATTACCACGCCATCTGCGTACAGCGACTACATCTGTTGTCTTAGGTCAAAGGAAGGAGAAACCAGTCGAACACAGCCATGAAACCACGCAAGATCATAGCACAGCTTCTCTTGCAACGTCGATTGGGGTATACTCGAGCATACCCGTGCTCTTTTTTAGACAGGAAGATTATGACACTTTGATCGCATGAGAAATCCACCAAGTGCGAAATGCAGTTAACCATGGAAGAGAGTGAATTTGGTCATGAACATAACACTGGGTTTTGACAAGGACAAGAGTCACCTTGAAAGTAATGGTACAGCTTAGAGCCGATGTCAGGTTCACTATAAACAGAGGACAAGGCTTGGAGATGTATTACTAGTTGCCCTGTAGACAGAATAGCCAGCTTTCTGAGTGTGATTTGAATTCAGTGCAAGTGCTGTGTAAGTGCCAACCTCAATAATCACGTCGACCCTCACAGAGGCGGATTGAGGGCGAAAAAATACAATGCTATTGTGTCGCCACCGAAGATACACATGTACAAGAGACTAAGACATACACCTGAGCTTCAAGAGGGCTCAGTTTGTTCGAGGGTCGAGGAATCAATCAATTAGTAATTCTAAGGTGACGATGCCGTTGGAGATCTGAGCGGTAGGTCGGACTGAATTGGACGTGGCTACATCAACTGTGAGCTGTTCTTCTCTGGACAGTTGAACCCATGAGCGTAAAAGTCAGTGCCCTCCAGCAGGACGTGATGAGAAAACAGTCACTCAGCATCTACTTCCACTCCTTCCAACGTTGCTGGATCGTAGCGTGGCTGCCCCATGCTGAAGTTCAAAACGCCACATTCCAAGTTGTACTTGATCTCGTTGGCCAAAAGCATCTTCCTAATGAAGTGTTCTATGTCCGACCCAATCAAACGCAAAGTGTACTCAGTACAATCAGCGCCCTGTACCCAAAACAACTCATGTCAGTTACTGAATAAGACTCAACGAAACGCGAGCTCGCCTTGAGAATTGATGAATCTTCTTGCATCCAGCAAATTTCTGTCATAACTACGGATTACAACGGCATCTGCGATGACGGTTACCGTTAAAGGTCTGTTCTCGTTTTCCAATGAGAGGGGAAAGTTCGGCTGAAACGACCAAATGTACGATATCTGGAAACTATGGTCTCAGATTCACTCATAGATGCAATTGAGTTCAGAGGCAGATCGGAAGACCAACTCACCGCGTAATTTTCGACGAGTTCGGTGAAGTAGTCATAAACCTTTTGGACCTTGTCATCAGGCCACACAAACTCATTGTCAGGGTCGAGCATGAGGGTGACCTTGTCCAGTTGCGATTGGTCCAGAGCCAGAGACACAGGATCCGCAACACCGATATAGATTCTCACGTGGCGAGTGGTCGCACTCAACCATTGCCCTCCTTTGCCGGGCCCATCGTACGCCAGCTGCTCGTTCCTGGTCACGCGCTCGGGCTCCATCCCGTTGCCAGAACCCGCCCCTTCTGCCCTCACCCCGACGCAATCTCGGCCCCCGGTTCGAAATCGACCTCCATTCGCTCTCCGAACGCTGCAGACGCCACTCCGTCGCGCAGAATTCGACCTCAACCCCTTCGACGCGAATCCGAATCTCGCATTTCGAGCGCCGAACGCGCACACGACGTCGGCCGAAGAGTCGATTAAGGTCGTCGAAGCTCTGCTGCTCAGATTCGTGGCGCTGGTCATCGCCATTGCAGCTGCGAGGCTGCTGCCGCAGCAGCCGCTGCTGATTGCCATGGCTCCGGCTATGGCTGGCTCACTCGCAAGGCGCGCGCTGTCAAAACGAGCGCTTGGACGCGTCGGAATTCATGGGGCTCGGGCTCTCGAATGGACAATTGTCGAGCGACTGCTTCCATCAGCTTGTGGATAACACGTTCGTCCGTTCGTCCTTTCATCTCCGCGGCTGGATGCCTGGAGGTCCGTCCATTCTCGGCCTCCACCTGGATGCTGCCTGGTTCTTCGAGCTCGTGCTTCGGCTTTGCCAGTGATCGAACCCGCTCCAGATCTCACGCACATACAACTGACGCTTGTTCTTAGCCTATACTTTCTATCTCTGAAATTTAAGCACATCATGTTTTCCATGTCCTATTTTTACTCAAGTTCCGTAATATAGACAAAAAGATATTCATAGACTGGTGAGACCCCATCATGTAAAATACAGGACAAGCTAGCCCATATACTTCTAAACTGGAGAGCTGTCTTACTTATTCTGATAATTTTGAAATTTAAAAAAAATATCTATTTTGAAATTTATGTACGTTCTATAGCAAAAGTTAATGATATTTCTCTTGAAAAACATCAAATAATACTATTCTAAATAAACATACTCGCACACATTGTCATAAATTTGTTGAAATTTGTATTTATAATATTTATAATACGACTAGGAAACAATCAAAGTGATCTTTTTGAATCTACATACTTGAATATACTAGATCTTGGTATTCTACTTACTCTATTCTAACATTTTAGTCTTGTATCATTTTGAGACTATGTTACATCTGGCTTATATCATATATAATGTCTTTAAGATAACTCGTTTTACCTTAAAAAACATTATCTAATTTCAAATAGCCCAAATTTTTGTGCAGTTGTTATGGCAAGCCCACACGACGAGTTACTCATTTGTGCTTGCCGAAACAAATCCACATAAATAACTAGTCGTGAATTTAATATAATGACACATTCATATGTAATAACAAGTGACAAATTAATTTACCTAGCTCAAGGCCAAAATATATAGAAAAATAGATTAAAAAATACATATATTGATATATCTATCTATACTTCAACTCATTATTTTTTGATTTATTATGACGTTTATTCAATTGATAGATAAAAAATAAACGCAAATAAGTAGTTTAATGATTCTAAGATCGAAATATATATAGTTTTTTCTAACAATACACATATTTGAAGTATTGGCTTGAAATGTATTTGAAGTCAGTAATGATGGAAGAATTTTACATTTTACCATTAACATCATTGATAAATTTATTGTAATCATTAAAAAAGTAAAAAATAATCAAAATTTTAAACTACGTTCTGATGTTTATAATGTGAAAGAAATAACTATTTTTCTTCAAAGTTGTTATTGTATAATTCAACTCTGATTTTTTTTCACCATGATGATCATTATAGGGGTTACACTACACCATAACTAGATATATTTAAATTACAAATGTGGATCATGATTTTAGGAATATTGTGTATGATATGATATCAGATATAAAGCATATTTATGTTGAAAAGCACTTAAACATTATCAAAATAATTATTTTCTTACTGAGTAAATAATTTGATGAAATGAAGTTGATACTAAAAAATATAGAGTATAATATATAATAATGTCTAATTTATTTCAAATCGACGTCATATCTATATCATTCAACTTGACTAGTGTGTTGATTGAATGACAGTCATATGAAACAAGTATAATGATCTGATTTTTTCTTCTTTTTGTTAAGATAATTATATTTAGATAATTTTAAAATTGAATTGTATTTGATTTAAGGTTTGTAAACACAACTAAGTTTTAGTCTATCAAATCTTGATAACGGCATAATATTGTTGGAAGTTTTGATAATAAAATTGACTTATATGTAAAAAACATGAACTATTTTATTTGCTATCATATTTAGACAGTTTGAGTTGAAAATTTAAATTTGATCCAATTTCATCTCATGTTGATCAAAGAAGGTTTTTAGTAAAATTGTAGATCCAATAATTGACACTGAGACAATTGATCACAAATAAGATGTAAACAATCACTATAATGTAAAAGAAATGTATTTATATTGTGATCGTTATCAAATATATATATATATATATATATATATATAAAGAAGGCATTTGCAAAGCTTTTACTTAAGAGCTTCAATGTAATTGGATGATGAATTGTTGTAATTTGAAGTTGAGTGGTCAAAATAGTGTTTTTCATCCATAAGAGGGTGGAGAGTTTTTCTAACGCCAGAAGTAGCTCAAACATTGTTAGATCAAAATAGGATGCATATCTACTGTAACAGTGATGTGATTCTACGGACACCACCCTACGACCTCATGCGTGGCAGTTCCACCTCGTGGAGAAAGGAGTTCCTAGGAGTAGTAAAAATTAACGATTATAACCTTGTGTACTTCTTCGCAGCGAGAATTGCCAAAAAATGATGTAGCCGCACAGTTCAGGCCCTTGACGAAGACGAACACTTCAGCGGCCGGGGCTGGGGTGCTGATTGGTGCCCCTGCCCACACCTCAATGGAGCTGCAAGGTTGATGATTCGCTCGTCGATTGCAATCCTCCCCCATCGCCTTCGACACACCTCTGCAGATCTAAGAATTGGCAGTTGAGCAGCATCAGGTGCTCATACTGAAAAAGCCCAATACCCAGCCACTGGCAAGAGCGAAATTAGGATAATGGTCATGATCCTGATACAAGACGCTCTGGACGAATTAACTGGACCTGTTCTCTTTATGAGTTTAGTTAGATCACAAACAATGCAAGGAACTTGTTTCTCGACTGCTGAGGCTGCGGAAATGAACGAGGGCTGGTGCATTTTATATTCATGAGAGTCTCCTGCGTGTAGTCTTACATTTACGGATTTTAATTAGTGAAGTACAGAAAGCAGCATCCCAGGTCCCGACTCGTAGATGAAAGCTTGGGAATCACTAGATTCTAGCTATTCGAATTGCAGCTGGCAGCGGAAATAGGTCCTGATCATCCTGCCTGGTGCCAATTAAATTGCTTCTGGACAATTCACAGAGCCTTGCCACTACGGTCCTTGACAGGACAGTGCATGGAGGATCCGTGCATGATGACCAAGGGAAGTGGAAATGACTCCTTCAGAGAGTACCGCTCTGTTATTGATTTTCGAACCTCCTACTCAATCATGGTCTTAGTGTGGAGATCAGATCTTACTTTGGATTTCCAAATCAAAAGTGAGAACGTTTTGAGATCAGAAAGTATGATCTGGAGACATGGTCGGTTCTGACTTGATTCATTTATGACTGAATTGTGATGTCCTGAAGCTGAGATTCACGTTTACTAGATTCAGTAGTATCTAAGTCATGAACTAAATTCGTGTTAATCTTTCAATCAGATTTAATAAAATTTGACATACAGTACAGTACAACTTGTCTACCTTGAAATGTGCGATATCCTAGTGAGAATATTGTGAGATCAACATTGTTATATGTGAAGTTCAGGCAGTAAAGCTTTATACTGTATTGAGTAATCTTATCTTAGTACTCAGCTAGCTCATCCCATATACATTGGGTTCAAAGTTGGATTTGCGCATGGTGACTGTATGTCGCTCTCATGTAGATTCTGTTTAGAAACTCTGAAAACTTGTATTGACTTTTGGGGCTAAGAGAAGTTTGAGGAAAACCTAAGATCTTCTATAAGGGCCAAAGTTCAGATCTTGAAATGGCATGAAAATGGATCCGCGTTATGAAGCTTCAGAAACAAGACTCCCTAGTAAGTTCTCATTGAGAGAAATTTCTCATCGAAGGTTAGATTTGGAGAACATTACTTGATGGACTCGGGAAACTCAAAACAGGGGGAGACACTAACCCACACTATAGAGCAAATTGGCGGGTTATAAGAACTTTTTTTGGAATATTACTCGCGGTGGGGTGTATGGCCGTTGTCCCACTCGGTAAAATGAAACCTGTTGGGTTGAGTTTCCCATGGGTCGGTCCATAAGTAATTTCTTGCTCAAATCTCTTGCATAATATTATGCAATGGTTGAAACCTTATTTCAGGCCGGAATCCGAAAAATAAAAGCTGCATCGGCCGGGAATCGAACCCGGGTCTGTTCCGTGGCAGGGAACTATTCTACCCCTAGACCACCGATGCTAGTTAAGCGCCGCCCGGGGGGCTCGAACCCCCGACCACAAGGTTAAGAGCCTTGCGCTCTACCAACTGAGCTAGGGCGGCTTGTTGTCTACCGAAAGTTTTAAAGCTATATAATTTAAGTATAAGAAAAAACAAAAATTATAAAGTGCAACAGTACATGCTGTTGATTTTAAGCTGAGTTCAGATCTTCATCTCACATGAGAATGAATTGTCTCTGTTTCCGAAGGAAGAATTTTTTTGTACTTCGAGTCCAACTGAATTTTTTTGTCGGGTTAAGGAGTCGTCAATCTTGGTTGCTGGACAATATACTTGCCGTCACAATGGCTATGTGACTTATAACGAACTTAGAAGCAAACAATCTCCCTTGCGCTGTCCTCGCTCTCGTTACGACAATCTCATCCATGAAGAAGACTGGTAAGCATTCTCTCACCAGGCTCGAAATTCCACAACTCAGACCGTTCATCAAGCTATGATGGGTGCAACTCTCCAGCAGAATCTAAGTCTGAATCAGAGCTACTACATTCTGCTACAGAAGGAAAGGTAATGTTACCGGTGTATGACAAGAAGATTGACGCAAGTCACTAAAATTTGTTAGCGGCAAGAAGGGACTGCACTTCACTTTCAAAGTTGAGTCTTTGAACCTACAAGTCCAAGAGACCTTCTTCAAACTTTTAGCACTTAAACCATTGTTATCATAATGACATGTCCAATGCAAACACCACTAACTGCAGTATTTGCTCCAATTGCTTAGCCTGCATATACATGAGCACACTTACCTAACAAGCGATGACTATATAATTCAAGCGATAGCTATGGATCATTTTCCTTAGTTACAATTGCTCTTCATATATCAATCTCTCAGACACCTCTTTACAAAGCCTTTCACTGCCCAACCTTCTGCATTCTCACGTAGATGGTATGCTCTAGTGAGAACAACTCATTGAAGTGAACATTTGTTTACCGTTGGAGCCTTTCTGCTCACTCGGGTTGATTGGTAAGGCAGTCTTGTTCATTTTTTGTATATCAACCAAGTATTGCATAACAAGTATCAAGATGCAACCCCCAAGCAATTGGATCCTGCTTCTTTACAAAGCTGGCTAGAACCTCCCCACGACCATTCAAATCTATCTCATTCTCGTGGCGTCCAACCAGGTTGAATATACCTGATTGTACGCCAAGAGAAATGTAATCAAGGCCATGTAGATGCTCGAGAAATTGCATGGATGGGAGCAATCAATTAGTATTCCAAACTCTAGATCTCGATGCTCATATTTTTTATTCGAAGCACATCTTGAGAACTATTCAAGATACATGTTCTCACATTGTTAGAGTGATTTTATATACTAAGTCTGTTCCATATATATTTCCATTCCAGGCATATTCTTCTGCCAACTTCTACAATTCACACCTCATCACTCAAATACGAAAGGTCCGTGGCACCAGTCTAATGGGTCTGAAGACGAATTACTCTCATGGGCTTTGGTACCACAGTCATCTTCGAACCTGAATTGGATGCTATATTAGTAAAGATAAAGAAAAATTAACATTTATCGTTGAAGATTGGAAGAATGCATATCATTGATAGCAAACTGTAGAACATTTTTTTAGTTGCTATTTACCCACAATTGAGATTGAAGAATTTCCGTCTATGAAAGCATATCCACATATTAGTACGTGAGATCCACTGCTGGTATGAAGTAAGCAGTGCCAAACATATGCAATAATTAGTATATAGAAAAGCATTATAATCCCTTTTGAGAAATTGACGAGAAATACAAGAAAAAAAAACACTTTTATTAGACATTACATACATCGCAATCGATGAGAGATTTTGGAAATCTTTGTCCGATCAATGTTCTTTAAAAGTGGCTTACGTAGGCAGTCTTACGAGACATTGTTCACGAAACGTTACCTGCACGGGCGGGGCTGAGTTCTGTAGTAAGATGCGTTGATCCATGGACACACCGAAAATATCGAAATTAGGCCGAAAAGAAAGTAGACTTGCTGTCTGAACGTGGTCAAGATATAGATTCCCGAAACTGGTGACCCGTTGACCACGTCCAGGGCAGGCGGTGAATGCATGAGGTCGCTAGACTGAACAAATTCAGGGCTTCTTTATTTCACATTTCTCTGTTCGGAGGATAACGGATATTGAAGGAATGTATTGTCTCCGAGAAATAGTCGCAAGGCCAGCCACGTAATGTACTTCGGGCACCGGGCCACAGAGGCATCGACACGTTGAGGTTTACTTGAACGTACATTATATTTGTGAAACACACGTCGAGGCAAAAGCAAATATCATGATAAGATCACCACGTGCGTGCACATACATTGAATAAACGCCTAATTATGTAGTTTAAGTTTTCCATATACAATCATTTCCTTTTCCTACGATTTTTCTTAGCGTTTCTAGTTCCATGCCTCGCACTTTTTCTTTTCTTACCGTACATGAATCCCACACTTTGTTGCTCCCCATCTTTTTCAGCCATACTACTTGGTATCGCTGTTCCGTACATTGAAATTCCCTACAAACTTTTTTAAATCTATTCCTCGTATTTGATGCGGGATGTGCGAATCTGGGATAGATTGAAAACGGGGAAAAGTTGTTGATCTACATCCGTTTTCGTCTGCTCGCCAAATTACAAATAATATAACAATTAATAAGTAAAAATATCTAAAGAGAGCGCCTTGTGACTTGGGTAGTCACTTACGTAGTGATGTTCTTAGTTCAAACCCCCATGGTCTCACTGTGACCTCGTCATGTGCAACTGGGAACGTGGAACCTCGAACATTTGCTCGTACAATATCTGTCGCAAGACGGGTCTTTCTTAGCGGACACTTTTTATTCTAATTTGAGAAATGACTAGCACAAAGTGCTGAGGCCTACGAACTACTCTGGAGTCTACAGGGAGATAAGAAGGAAAAAATCGTGGACTTTTCAAGGGAGTGAAACAATGGACTATGCCACCCGAAGCAAGATTGTGGCACAGGACTCGGATGCATGGGGAGCGAAAGGTATGAAAATGAACCCGGAAATGAAGAAGATAATTTGACGAGAAGATGTATTTGGTGCAAGTCGATTGCGGTTGCGATCGATCCATCGAATGCGGAGTCGACATTCTGACAGGGAGTAGAGTAGAAGGGGGACGGTCCGAAAAGTGGCGCACAAGGATAACAGGAGGGAGCATGTCGCCGGTGGCATCGATCGGGAAGGTCGGACTCTGCGATCCCCACGGGGCATGATGTCAATGAGTGAGAGGGAGATGCTCCGGCCACCGGGAAACGGACAGCAGGCGGGAACATCGTACAGCAACAACGGGATATAACCGGTTATCTTTCACCTCAGTCCTCCGTCGTTCTTCTGTGAAAGAGCTCTGGGGCTATGGCGTGCCCTTCGTTTCTGTTGCGGGCTGCAGCCTCGTTGCCGCCTTCGCTGGCCAAAACCTCATTGCTGCCGTCGCGAGCACCCAGATCGGACAGGAAGTTGTCATTCGCGACATTCCATCCTTCCCGACGCTGTGAAAATCGACCGAAACGATCTCCAATCGCGTCGAAATTGCAGATTCTTGTGCGAACCTCGTCATCGTCTGTTCCTGGCTCGATGGCGGAGGATTTGAAGGCTCTGAAGTTAGCTGACGCGACCGGGTTGGAAGAAAATGGGAGTAGTAGCAAGGAATCCGCCGCGGCAGGTGTTGGACAAAGTCGCAGTGATGTGGTACAGAAATCCGAAGTGAATGGTGGCTCCTCGTCTTCATCCAGTAAGAAGAGGACTCTTGAGGAGCTGAGATGGGATCACTCGTTCGTGAATGAGCTTCCTGGGGATCCCAGGACTGGCGGTCCGGTTCGCCAGGTATTTATCTCTACCCATCACCGTGTGCGAATTATAGATATCACATTCCCCAGACCAATTCTTGTACGAGCTGACTCTATAGGGTTTTTCTTTAAACTTTTGCAATATTTTCATCTTCCTTGATTGATGCGCTTTCTCCTTTCAGCATGTCATATATTGCGCCTTAATATCATCAAGAGATCATCAAGAGTTAATTGAACATCAAGCAGCTCCCAGATGTTGTGATACAGGGCAGTTTGGGTGAATTTTCAAGTCTTGATTACATATGGTCAAATTGAACGCGTTTAGTTTGAGCCTCCTTTTCTGCGCAGATTTCGATTTCTTAATATTCTAAGAGCAGGTATCATTATAAGTATCCCTGATTATAGTTACAAGGGCTCCCACGTATTTCTTTCGTCTACCTACTTGATCACCTCGACAACCTGTCCGATTCGAAGGTTCTGAATTTAGACCTACCAGACTTTTGAGTGTGGACGCCGTTGTCAATGGCCAGCCGTTACGATAATTGTTTGTCCTTATGGTTTTATGGCCATTTTTTTATGTGTGTTTTGAGCCTCTGAATTGTTTATGCAATAGATTTCCATATGGATTCCTTCCTTCACTTAATGCCAAGAGTTCAAACAGCAGTCACCCGTGTGAAAACCTTTTCCTTACATGTCCTATACTCTTATGGCTGATAACTTCACCGGCATGTCGTGTAAGACACGTTCACCTCTTATCTTCACGGACGTAAAGTCGATTAACAACCAGTTTTGCCTGCCCGTGTGCTTCCTTGGAAATGCAAGCTCATGAGAGCAAAGCCCAAGAAAATGTCCATTAGTTCACTTGGTTTTCTTCACAAAGGGAAAAATTGAATATTTTTGGTTTCGGGACGGTTCCGTGAAGAGGCAAATATATGCATGCTAGTTGCAAATGATGCTGATCTAAGAATTTCATTCGTTCTTCAGCTTTCAATGGGGAAGCTCAAGTTTTATGGGTCTTAGAAGCATGCAGGAACATTGTGAATCGGATTACTATGTCTCGTTTTCTCTTTCGTATTTTACGTCAATTGAAGTTTTTATCATCGCTTGCCCTTATTCAGCATGTGGGCATTTGGGAATTGTTCATTCTATAAACTTTGTTCGTGTCTACATGGAATAACTTTTCTGACGAGGTGAATTTTTGTGGACGCTGTGATGGCAGGTTTTGCATTCATGCTACACGAAAGTAACCCCTTCTGCTGCTGTGGATGATCCGCAACTGGTCGCCTGGTCTGAACCTGTGTCACAGATTCTGGACCTTGACCCTAAGGAGTGAGCGTCGCCCATTCTCAAGTTACCATGTGGCTCTTACTCTGAATTAGATTTGAGGTCTTTTTTGCTGCCAATTTTGTCTGTGCTGGAGTGTCTGTCGCTCAGGCCTGTGTGTGAGAGACCTGGTCTTGTCTAGTGTATGACGCGTCTAATTTTAAGTTGACAATGCTGACCGCACTATTGAAAGTTGTATTCGTGACAGCAGCTAAATCTTTCCTTGTTTCTTGTTGGATATGCTGAAGCTTTGAGTAAATTGAACTTGCAGATTCGAAAGACCCGACTTTGCGCAGTTTTTCTCTGGAGCAACCTTACTAAAGGACAGGTGAGATGCATATGGCGATTTCAAGTCTCTTTTGGTCAGATATATACGTGTCCGGTTAGGAATGTTATGACCCTTTATTAGCATCAGGGAAGTTCTACATTTTCTTTCTAGATTGCCCTTCAAGAAGTTCTCGAGAGACACTCTATAGCATGTCAGTCAGATTTGCGATGCTTCTTGTTCGTTAGAACGTGAAATTCTTGTAACTGATGGGAGATGTGTGTCTTGATTTTCCTGCAGCCTACCTTATGCCCAATGTTATGGAGGACATCAGTTTGGCGTTTGGGCTGGACAGCTCGGTGATGGTCGTGCAATTACTCTGGGAGAAGTCTTAAATGAGAAGGGAGAACGCTGGGAGCTACAACTTAAAGGAGCGGGTAAAACTCCCTACAGTCGATCGGCTGATGGCCTCGCTGTACTCCGTAGTAGTGTGAGGGAGTTTCTTTGTAGTGAGGCCATGCACCACCTAGGAATACCTACAACGAGGGCCCTATGTCTCGTGACAACTGGTGCAAGCGTAGAACGGGATATGTTTTATGAGTAAGTCATAAACTACTCTGCTCGAGGGCCAATGCTTCAGTCGTCTTGATTTGTGATTGAGAGTTTTCGACGAACCTGCAAATTTCGATATGACGGCTGCCGAGCATTGCAACCACATAGTGCACTTTTTCAGGATTGGTTGCACTTCGACGACAAATTTCGAAACTGGATACAATCGAATGAATGCTTAGACTTTCTGTTGTCGTTCCCTGATGCAGTGGACATCCAAAACTGGAGCCTGGTGCTGTTGTGTGTCGCGTTTCTCCATCATTTCTTCGCTTTGGATCATATCAGATTCACGCAGCCCGAGCTGAAGAAGACTTGCAAATAGTTCGCCAGGTGGCAGATTATACTATACGCCACCATTACCCACAGTTTGTCGACTTACCCTTCGAGCGACAAGTTTTTGACGAGTCTACTGAAGCAGGACCAAGTGATACTCCTCTCGAGGTTGACATAACGAAGAACAAATATGCATGTACGTTTCCCTGAGTTTTCTACATTCTTTCACCTTTGTCTGAGTTCTCTAAATAATACGTACAGTTGATAAAGATTTGTCAAGACTCAGATGTAGAACCAAGTTTTCATCTTCTTGGCAAGTTCAGCTGTCTCTTGTACTTGGAGAGTTCCAGCTTTGGTTGTGTAACTCTGGGGAAATTTCTGCTTCCGAGCATTTTGAATTTTGTCTGTTTTGTCGGTTGGTGATCACAGAAAAGTCCACAAGTTTCAAAGCTCATGCTTTGAAACTTCTGTGGACTTTTCTAAGTAATTTTACACAATGCACTTGAATTTACTGAGCAAGTATTGACATTTTCTATTCTCATTCAGCTTGGTTTACCGAGGTAGCAGAACGCACGGCCATCATGATTGCAAAATGGCAAGGTGTTGGTTTTACCCATGGAGTGATGAATACGGACAATATGAGCATCTTGGGTTTGACCATTGACTACGGACCTTTTGGATTCTTGGATGCTTTTGATCCGAAGTTCACCCCGAACACGACTGATCTGCCTGGCAGACGATACTGCTTTGCGAACCAGCCGGACATCGGCTTGTGGAACTCAATGCAGTTAGCCAACACATTGCACTCTGCTGGTCTGATCTCCACGGATGAAGCACAGTATGGTCTTGGGAGGTGTGTAACTTTCTACCCTGACTCATTTTTCCTGGTATACCTTTTGATATATTTCAAGACACTTAAAACTCACCTAGAAGAGAGACCCTCCTTACTCTCAAGATGTCTTCTCTCGTTTTCCTGTTACCACTATTCAGTCGGCTCCTTCTACTCTCTTCACTTGAACACAGAGGTCAGCCAGGGCGCGTCGTTTATGATCTTGATTCTTTTACGGCAGTGAGCACAACTGATGACATTTGTCGCTCAGCAATGCTATTTGTCCAACTTTTACTACTAAGACTGTAAGGGTTCGTGTCTTACCAGTGAGAGCCTGGTCTAATATCTGAGTCTATCGTTTGCTTCACGTACAGAAGGAACTTGAAGAGCTTCGTTGTCAGGGAAATTCCTTTTATTTCATTTTTTTGTAACCCTGGTTGTTTGCAGGTACGCCGATAAGTTTATGGAAGAGTACAGGCAGCACATGAGTCACAAGATGGGGTTGAAGGAGTACAACAAGGAGCTGCTGACAAAATTGCTCAATAACCTGGCGGTAGACAAGGTCGACTACACCAATTTCTTTCGGGCTCTAGGAAATGTTAGCAGCGCATCGGATATCGCTGACGACAATATATGGCTACCTTTGAAGCCGGCATTGTTGGATTTGAGCAAGGAAAGGAAGAAAGTCTGGGTGGAGTGGTTGAGGGAGTACACACGACAGGTATAGTTATTCCTATCGTTCCCATCGTTCTCTTGAGCTTTATTTCTCTCTAAAAATGTACAAAGACGGAACTTTGCTTCTTCTTGATGAACGTCAAGGGTTCTCTTTAAGGACGCCAGCAACCTTGAAATATACATCTCTAATAGATACTTGCCTTACCGCCAGCGTGTTGGTTGGATGGAGTTGAGCTTGACCCTTTTTGATCTTCTTGTTCTAAATGAGCCATCAATTCTGGCTGTATGCTTGCAGCTTGCTGGACAGGGCATTCCTGATGAAGAGAGGAAGGTGGCTATGAACAAGGTTAATCCTAAGTACATTTTGAGAAATTACTTGTGCCAGACTGCCATCGATCAAGCAGAGCAAGGAGATTACAGCGAAACGTACAGATTGCTGAAGGTTATGCAGCGGCCTTATGATGATCAGCCCGGAATGGAAATATATGCTAGACTACCCCCTGCCTGGGCCTATCGACCAGGGGTGTGCATGTTGTCATGCTCCTCTTAAGTCATCAACAGATTATGTGGAGAGCTAGCTAAGGTAGATTTGTTACAAAGATGTATAGTCTATGCGATTCAAGATTCTGTATAGAAGACAGGTTGGTTGAACCAGCAGACCCTTTTCTATGAGGTGATTGTGCATACCATGGGAAAGATGATAATAATCGTAGCATTCATGTGGGCGTGAAGATCTATGCACAATCTGTGCGTGAGGATCCATAGATTCACCCGCCTCCTTTGTATTATCATGGCTCTTAGATTTACTGAAATTTATACTTTGATTCATTAAGTCGGAAGATGATAGTTTACCTGGCTCACAAGTTCAAAGGTGCATGTCATGCCGTGCTGTCTCCTTTCTCAGACCGCTGAGAAGTTCGCAGGTTTGGGTCTGCCAACCAATAACGCAAATAATGTGTCGAAGAAATTATCTGCTTTGGCACTTCGTTGAGAAATTTGTTCGCGTCCTGACGAAAAAGTGCTCCGATGGAAGATAATATTTGGATATCATTGCTGAGAATGATCAATCTGTTCATTTTCATGGTTCCGAATTCACATAAGAATGTACTGCTTGCTCGTGAAGTTAATTCATATTTCAATAATTGAAAATTTGCTCGTGCTCAGTGATTAGTTCAATTCCGAGAGTGTAAAGAGCGACTGTTCCTTCTTCATTACAACTCATGTGATTGACAAGTTACTTGCAATGACAGGCGTAGACTCCGGCAATCCAATCGAAAGAGCAAAATAAAAATTGCACCTGTTTTGACATGGGAATCAGGAGTCTATCAATACGCATGCCGATGGTGACATTCCTAGTGTCTAGATCGTACACGACTAACCAGCCAACATCAAGCCAAAAGCATTGAGACTCACTTAGCTCAAAATTTGCGATCGGCAGATCTACCACGAGTTTTTTGGGCGTGTAATCACTCCTTGGAACCACGGAAACAGAGCTGTAATTGTCGCAGAAGAACGAGACATTTCCGCAATCAAAAAACATACTAACCTTTGCTAAACATAGTACCTGCTTCTGATAGTTTAGGACATTTAACAAATACAAATCAATGTTAGACAGATCAACTAACTAGCCGATGGAGAAGGAGGATGAGATAAGTCAACAGATGTATCTCGTACACAAAAGCGGAAACAGTTGAATCACAAGGCTTTCTCAATTCTCGATAAATCACATTAAAGTACGGCGGAGATGCTGGGCAGGTTACACGTACACAATTGAATCATCGCAGTTTTCATGTCCAGAACCGTGGACCTTTGAAAAAATTTCAGAAATAAGTAGGATGATTGAGGTAAAGAGCTTCAGCTGTCTTCGCATAAGTACCAGCGACATCGTCAACTCATTCATATGGATGCATTTTGAGATTCCCCATCAACGAAATTGATGAATTACCCCACAATCTCAATCTAAGACACCTGAGGGGACAACAATGTTACAGAACTAAATCCACAGATGACTTCCGAGCTCAGAATGTTGGCCACTATATCATGTATACATTTGGGGATGGCAGAGCATAAACTAATTCCAGAGAACAGGGCACTTTTTCATCCAAGCTCTTCACGGAAGTTGATGATATTGGACCTTGCTCGAATTCAATTTCAACTGACACAGTGTATGACTGATGGAGGAACTGGTGATCTACCTATTCAATATCAGTCCATTGATGGTCATGAGTAAAAGCTCAGGTTGACTAAAAGATTATGATGGTGAGAACGTTTTCCTCGGAGACAAATGTAGAAAGAGCAATAAGGTATCAATTTCATTCAAAAAATATTTGGGGGCTGCACATGTTCAAAATGGCCCAGTGTAAGCAGGCCTCCCCGAGAGCCACTGAGTACAGAAAGACTACTGAGATCTACGGAGACGTCCATTGACGTATTCTTACGCCTTTCGCTGCCTCGCTAGATCTCCTCGATAATGATGTTGATGAAAGCCGACTAATCCCTCAGGATATGCATCTACTTCTCAGATGAGTTGGGACCACGCTTCTTTCCGAAGCCGACAACTGCAGTACACGAAGGCAAAAACATTCATATACGGCTCCAGCCAATCAAGAACAAAAGATACTAACGAAGAACCGTAAATTCGGCCGACATTGAGTGAATTTACTCACCTGCGGTCACAAAACGTCTGTTGTATTGCATGCGCTTGTGCGCTCTTCCCTTCGGCTTCTTCTTCTTGTCCTGCTTTTGAACCTTTGGAGTTTGGCCTCTTACCTTACCGGCACGAGCCAAGGAACCGTGAACCTTACCTGCATATCACCAGAAAACAAAATTCAGGATACTCAAGTCCACGCTCGCAACCCGGAGAATTGCGCAATGTCTGACAGAACCAGCCATTTCAGAAATGTCACATCTGCGAATACAAAATCCTGAGGTCTCCGAGTAGCAATTCTTCCCGATCGAAAGTCAAGAGACTAAATTACATATCGATGACTTACTCATGGTGAAAACCCTCTCGACACAGAATCAAACGATTTTGGAATTGCAGACGGACCGAGCTTGCGCAACGCTAATCGACGAGAGGATGAAAGGGAGGGAGCGACTGATGGAAAGCGCAAAGAAGGAGACTGGAGTGCCAGACCCCGACGGGAGAAATGGAAACCCTAACCATGTCCTTCGTCTCGACTCAAGACCGTCGATGCCGTGAGATGAAAGGCTCCGGTTCATTCTGACATCTTCAGAATATTTTATTTTGACATTTATCGTAAGTTTAAGCTGCAAGACTTCGCTGCAGCAAATTTGCCAATTTGTCCAACATTTTCGCAATCTCGGACAATTCTAGCCTACTAGAATGGCGAACCATATGTAAATTAATACAAAGTAAACAGAGGAACTCGAGTAACAAGGCAAATGGTGGGAAAATGAATTGTTCCATCTAATCGTAAGTATCTATTAAATTGTTGACTTACGTTTTCAACAAAACAACCATTTATTTTTGAAACGAAATTCTTGAAATATTATGGTACGGTTTGCTTTGGTTAACTTGATATCATGCCCTTTGGTCTAAAGATAGATTACGATTAACAGAATGACGAAAATTTTGTTCTTTTTGTTTCACAGTAACTATCAATCGTTGAAGTTGTGCCAAAAAATGTATGAATTGATTTATTATTAAAATATCACTTGTAACTCCATTCATTATACATTTTTTTCTGAGGGACAAATTTAGATTCGATTCATAGGATCAAATTTATCCCATGAATCAAACGTATTTTCCGCCCAAAAATTTAAGTAATTAATATTTTATAACTGATATTTCATTTTTTTCTTAAAAAAATAAAATATATATATTTTTATTTAATAAAAATATTAATTTAATTTAAATAGATGGAAAATAAGTTCTAACATAAAAATAAACATTCAGTTTGAATAAAAAATATTTCTAGTATTTCAATCTCATTTTTCTAGATATCAGTGAACTTCAACTGCAAACAAACATCCTTAAACTTCATACTTATTTATATACAAACTGGGACAAGTTCAATACATCATTTCAGATCCAGGGAAATAAAAGCGATGGTGGAGTGATCATTCCGAAAAAAAACAATCTTCCATTTTAATCTTACTGAATAATTACTGATACTGTGACTACAAGATTTTATTACTTTATTTCAGATAAATCAGTAAACTTGTATAGATCCTGATTGGCTTAGAAAACTGAAGTAAATGAATGAGGCTAGAACGCTGACATCTTTTGCCCCAAAGTCCTTGTTCAGAATATTTCATGAAACTAGCTTTATGAAACTGAACTTCATGACAATGAAGGTCTTTGACGAGGTTATGTCCTATGATGTTAATTTCCAGGGACCATTTTTTTACTTGAAAAACCTACATGTCATTTCTAAATTCTCGCAATTTGGTACAGTTTCTCATTTTGAACTAGTATTAAAGTTAAAAGAAGATAAAACAGATCAAAAAACCAAAAGTTTCAGAATCAAGTAGTTAATATTTGAACAAACTCAGTGATAGATAGGTAGATTTTTCACAGTCGAATTAGAGGAATCATTTTTATTTCATATCTTCATATAACAAACATGAATTTGTACATGGAGGATAAGCATTTCAAGTATGTGACAAGTATCATTTTCGTAAGTAAATAATAATCAGACAGAATTATGCACGATTCACAGTAATTAAAAACTCATCTACTAAAATGTTTAAAATTTTGGGAAAATCTTGAAAAACATATTTCAAAATTACTTATAAATTTTCATGCATTTCAAAAAATTATATATATGGTCTAACTGATTAAATGAAAGCTAATGAAAAAGTCAATATTTTTCAAAACATAGAATGATATTGATAAAAATAGAAATTTTCAACCTTTTTATAAAAAAATATGTTGTTACTTTTGCAATTCATGCAAAAGAAAAACTGTGAAACATATTTTTGCTTAAATTATGCATATTTCAAGTTGTGTTTGTCACTTTGGCTAAATAGGCTAGTTCTTGGTTTTTTGTGCGTTAAGATACTTGTGGTTTTAATTCTGATAAAATAGGGATAGCTGGCCACTCTATCTTTTCATTATATGTGAATTCAAATTTAAATTTTAGATATGACGCTCCATTTTTCTTTTTTGTTTCTCAATCCTGAAAAAATCTGACTTTTTCATTTTGATGCTAGAAGTGCCAAGATTAAATAAAACCTTGAAGCTTTGTGTATATATATATATATATATATATAAAATATTTGATTTCTGTTGTGTGATAACTTTCAATATACGTTGACCTAGATTGTTAGCATATCCATTATTCTTTCTAAAACCTTGGGTGATAATTTTTCAAAAAGTTACAATAGACATCATTATTTACAATCCATACAAAAACAATCACATCATATTATAATTCTTCAGATATATTCTACCTAGATAGCCAAATAGTTATATCTAGATAGACTGTATTTACCTTAAAAGTATATCTGAATGGAACTTCACATGCACATTTTGTTAGTTGATAATTTACATTATATGTTGCTATATATTAGGGGCTATTATCTGGATAACTAGGTTGTCTAAAACGTTGCTTCAAGTGCTACTGCAATTTGTGGGGAGCTGGACTCATACTATTCAGATATCTTTCCCCTGCACAGCTCAAGTATTGTGGGAATCGTGATCTTGTGGATAAGAGGGGTCTTTTCAAGTGGTATTCTTGTTTGCAACAAGCTTGAACTAGACAATCTACTTATATTTAGTCAACTTCATCTACTTGCCCATTATAATTGTAATTGCCCATGTTTGGAGTTCGATTGTTTGTATTGTGTTTATTAACTTTTTGACTTGGGTTCCCGGGCTTGATCTATTTACCATTTAATAATTCTACAGTGGCCTACATCTATGATGTACGTTAGGTAAGCTCCGGTTCCAATTGTGATACTTCAGTGGACATGCATTACCCATTGATTCCATCCACGTAACATCTGTTGCAGTCATCCCTCTCTTCCTTTTCAACTTGCTTGGTTTTATTCTTGAATGCTACACTGTCAATTGTGTTACTACTGATCATCCTCTCAGAATTACGTTGTACCCTCAGGTAAAGGTACATGCAGTGGGCGTGAACCATGGTAAGTCATTCAGGGTACTGCTGTACTCCTACCTCAATATGCGACAGAATTACAGCAAACCACCCAACTTCTACAAAACTGATTTTCTACAGTCAACACATTGAACTCAACGAGAAGTGATTGAGCGAACGAGCAAGTTCGCCCTTGTGCAACATTTCGGGTAACGAGGTTGGTCCTCGGGATGTCGACGCGCCTGGCATATATTCGGGCAGCGGGTACAAACACGACACTTCAGAGGTAAGGGAATTCGTACACATTTCAGAGGCGGTATACAACTGCTTCAACAAAACTGAAAAGATGCACAAATCTTGACTGATGCATACAGAAATGTGTCCTATGAGCACAGCTGCAAGAGACCTTCTGGGTATGGGGGCAACTCTTGTGCTCTGATTCAAGCCCCTTTGAGATATTGTTGTGTGAGCTCGCTTGAGAGCAACAAGTACAGTGTGAGTCAAGATCAGCATCATGAAGAAAGACGAGATAGTCCTGGTTAAGAAGGATCCTTCACAACTGGGCCGGAAGAAACCGAACTCTCTCCATATTCAAGGCATTCTGTGAAAAAGCCAAAAGGAACGGACCTCAGGAATACCTTCATTTAAAGGGAAGATCTAGAAGCTCTAAACAATATTCACATACATGTTTACAAAATTCACAGGGTGGATTTTTGAAACTACCTAAGGTAACATTTTACTCATCTAAGAAGAAGCTCATGATTCGACTCTGCTGTTGGCGCTCTCTATCAACTAGTGTTGCCTTGCTGACTTTATAACACCACCGCTGCAAAGTCAGAAGGTCTTCAGAGGTGAACATCTGAGGGTTTGCTGCCATGAATTGGGCAGCTCCTCTGAACATCCGTCTTGCATCATCAAGTGGCACACCGGTAGGCAATCTATCTTCTGGCACATCGATGCCGGGTTCTGTCAGAGCAAGAAGATGGTCATCTGGGGTCGTGGTGCCTGACTCCACATCCCGGATCATGTGCAACAATTCTTCATCTGTGTAAGATGTCTCAGTCTGATCCTCCCCGGGCATCATGATATACTGATTAAGATTCATGGCTAGTTCGCCAAGATTGAGATTGCTAATGAGCGTCCCCAGTTCGTACTCCACGCCGGTTTGCATTCGAACATGTTCCCTTTCGTCGGCATTGTTAAGGTCAACACTCCAAATTGCAGGAGAGATATTGACCTTGCACCAAGACTGCTGGATTGTTTGCTGCCCAACCTCTTCCCAAGCAAGCACAGCCCAGATGATAGCATCTTTTACACTCGCTAAATTCCTGGCATGAGCGCCCGAGTTCCCTGGCTGCCCACTCTCAAGATCATCCAGGCTCCAGGTAAGCAGATGTTTCCTATAGTGCATCTTGAAGGCCTCGATACAACCTGCGTCTAGAGGCTGCACTGCAGACGTTGTCCTAGGTGGGAAGAAGAGTAATGTAACAGAGGAGAGCTGAATGGTTTGAAATGTATGGATTCTAACCTTCTCATGCCCAGGTATATCATGACTGGGAGCGTTATCTAACAGAATGAGAATCCTTCTACGTTGTTTCGCCATATCTCGGTTGACTTTTCGAACCCAGTCTACGAAAACCTGGGAGGGGACACACACGACAGCAGGTGGTCATTGAGTCAGAAATAGCACTTTGGACGAGTATATAGAATAATTTCTCCACGATTGATGAAGCATAGAAATCTAAGGTGAACAACATATATATATTCACAAAGAAACAACGGATGAATGTCAATAGAGTGTCGACTTTTCACCTTGACAGGCAGGAAGCAGGAAGAATTTTGACTGGAACGGTGCGGTGATCGAAATCACTTTACTTTTCTAATAGGTTGTGTTTCAAGTATTTGAAACGTCTGACAGGAGTTCAACCTCCTGGGAACAGTGAACGCCGCGTTAAAATGAACTGTGACAATAAGAACCACTTGATCCTTATCAGACTCGCCTCTACCAGAGCGGCATGTCTCAGGACATCCGGAGACTGTCTACAGTCGAACAGGTTGTCTACGAGAAATTGTAACATGCAGCGATGATGCACGTTCTATTCTGACAGAGGTTGGCATTAATCTAACCAAGCAAACACTTACATTGATGGGCAGAACAATCCATCTTTTCTTCTACCATCTTAGTCCTTCAGGTATCAGAATTGCTGCCAGGTGGTAGGGCAAGTCTGATAATCGTAAGTTCCATTGTGGAACAAATGGATTTAAAAGATAATTTAGCAGACCAACAGAGGCTTCATGACAACTCAGGGCGTGGTGATCTGAGTCATTCAGGAACGGAAGCTTACGTGGGATGAAAGATAAGGGAACAGGTCGTAACAAACTACAAGTAGAATCAGGAACCAGTTCAAACATACTACTCATTACATTAATTACGGAGAAAATAAGACTTAGGTCGCAGGATCATGTCCACAGCAACCCTTTTTGGCCATCGAAGCTTTGGATGGGAATAACAGTAGATAGCAAACCTTAAATAACAACAACAGCAACCAATGACATTACCGAAAAATCAGATCGATCTGAATCCAACCATCGTATATAACTCGATGTGAAAGGCAGGGAGACGGGTGATGGGGGACTTACAGTATTGGTCATTCGGGCATGATTGTTATGGTGATAGTGGACCAGAGTATCAGGATTCCAGCCGGCGAAGCAGCGAGGTTGCTTCGTTTTATACACTACAACCAATTTAAGCTTTTCTTCGCCGGTGGCATTCAGGCAAAAACCTATTGTAATTCTGTCCTTCTGTAGCTTTCTCACTCTCAGAGGAATAGTAGCATGAGTTTTAACGGGCTGTGCTCTGAAGTACAGGCCAGTTTCACCAAAATTGAAGACATCTTGCGGCTGAAATCCAAGCTCGTCAATTATCTTTTGTAACACACTCGTTGCTCTGTTGATTCCCGCCTGGTCGGCATCTTGAGGCTCATGAGTGACATTGCTGAGCTTTATGCTATGCCGCTTCTTGAAATTGGCGAGCCATCCATCGCTGGCCTTGAAATCTTCAATTCCTGCTTCCCGTGCCAGTTGTTTGGCCCTGTCTCGCAATTGGGAATCCGTCATGCTCTTCGTGGTGCTCTGCTTCTGCACGCTCTAAACCCCGAAGATTAGCCCCAGGTGTTCAAGAGTAAGGGTAAGGTAACGTTTAGAATCCACGTTGCAATCGATTCGCTTGCTTTCATGTACGTTTAACAAATTAGCACCATCTACTTCATGCAAAATATGCACGTCGATGTCCATAAATCTTTAGCAGGGGTGAATGCAACTACCTGGCTGTACCAAGCGTACAGAGCCGCTTCCAACCCAAGGAAAGGAGACTTCCGTGCCCGTTTTCTCCTGCCCTCGTCTGCCATTCCAGCACAGTCGACCGCCAACCACTTCTCCTTCTCTTTCAGAATTTTGGTAACGGTAGACCTCCCAATTTGCAGCTTCCTTTTGAGCAGAAACTGAGCTAAAATATCCTCGTGCGACAGAAGTGGGCTCTCTTCATGCATTTTGCAAATCTCTTGCTTATCGGCAATGCTCAATTGCGCACGAGTTTTCGTTCGCGTAATCTGCTGCATATTATTCTCGCCGTCTGGGGGAGGCTCCACTCCATCCTCCAGAGGCAGGGGAAGAACAGGCAATTGATTGTTCTTGTTTTTTCTCGGCTTCCGTTTCCGCGGTGGAGCTGTGGTGGATGTCTCCATATCGTCAAGCTCCATTACTTCCAGCTTGAAATTCACTTAATTACCCGAATGCGCTTCTTCTCTCAGCCCCACCTTCTCACCCCATACACGGAGCAGTCAGCCTTTCAAGTCATGTCCCGGTGCAGCCACATTATAAACCTCACAATCATCAGACTGCCACTTTTCGCATCGCTACAGTCTTCCTCAAGACCTCGATTGTTGCCCGTCCTTGCAAGCGACCAGCAATTCATGAAAACACAATCCGCAAGATCGTGTCAAGAGCAGAAAAGCTCCGGATGGACAGAGGAATCCCGAGCCAGCATATGCAGCTTTAAATTAAATTTTAAATGCCACAAATTACATCAGAACCGGCAAGTAACAATTCCAACAACGCAGCGACCGGACTGCAATCTTTCACGAGCAAACCGACTGCAATCATGTCCAACACCCCAACCCTAAAACGCTCTAAACCCTAAAAACTCAAGTCTCATCGCTCTCCTCCCGCAGGCATCTCCTCCCTTGCACGATAAGTTCCAACGGACACGCCCTCCTCCCGTTCTCCAATCAAAACCCGCCGTCGTATAGTGACCGCATATGTCACTCTAACCAGAGCTGCGCCCACCGCCGCAGTTCACGCACCGCGGATGTAGTTCTTCTAGGGGGAGGTTCTTACCTCCCACCGCCGCTATACTAGCAAGAAGTCGTTGCCCCGCGCTCTAGCGCTCTTCTCGTGCGCAGATCTGCGCGTTTCGACGACAAAAACGAGAATAACAGCTCCACTTCTTCAATTCTGCCTCGCCGCGCCTGTCAATGCCACCTAACTTTGGCGGTGACGAGCTCCGCGGGGTTAATTAGCTCCTAATCCCTCGATGAACGCTCAATTAGGCCCTCGGTAACACTGTGCGCCCGCTAATCACCGTGGTTTAGACACTCTCCCTCCTTCCCTCCCCTCCAGATGCTACGAGCCCTCCCACGTACAGTTACGCACGACGGCGTAAGATGACCTCACCGACGTTTGCGGTTCGAACAATGTCGTTGGGATTACTCATGGGCTCGACAAGAAGCCGAAACTCTGGAAACGACCGCAAAAGGTCCCGTCCGTAATCTCGATTAGGTCCACCGTACGATGCGAGGAGCCAGCTCTTCGGGAAACTAGCGTCTGATCGCCTCTGACGAGAAGTGGTCAGTGCGTCTCGTCGACGGATCGCATCGTTGACCTCCGTCGCCACGCTCTTCTTACAGTTCCCCCGTTCTGATGTACAACGAGGCATCGCCTGTTTCCGCACGAGTCGGTCGGATTTGCTTTGCTTCTCCTCTCCTCTCATGCACAATTTTGGATTTTCTCGAGAGAGACAGACAGCGAGAGAGGGAGGGAGGTCGGTACATTTCTGCAGAGCTTCCTTTGATGGTGCTGTAACGATTGATTATGTGATTTCATGGACGTCGGATAATACACTGTATGCCAATGAAGATATATGCATGCATCCGACCACGTCAGACCCAAGTCTCCTTAATTTATGCCTGGCTCATTTCCAATCGACATATTCCCAATTTCCCTAATTTCCGTAATACTTTACACGACAGACAGTTTAAAGGAGGCTTACGATATCACGTGCAGACACGTTACTTGGTAATTGATTTATATTGAAAAAGTACATGTGAGGTTGAAGATGACTAAGAGGATTTTCTTTTAACACAATTTTAATGTTTTTTTTTCTGGTAACAGAAGATTAGAATTATTTCTAGCAGGGCTGTTAGGAACGGGGCTGTGCACATTGAAAGGTGGGGCAAGTAATTTTGCAAAAAGATAAACAGACATCTTGGTCAAGGGACTCGGAGGCGGTTGGCTACACCGCAGGACCGTGCATGGAGAGCCGCATTCTCCGAGTCCAAGCATGTCCGAAAAGCAAAGAACCCAGCAAATAGAAGTCCACCTTTACTCTAAGTCAAGGAACACTGTCTTACTCTTCCTAGAATACTTATGTGTCGAGAATGTTACATAAGTCCAGTAGATATCAAATGCTCGATTACATTCTGCACATGTTTCTCATGTCCCACCATTGTATCTCACAGTATTTTAGAAGATCATTTGTGCTTGCTTGGACACATTATAATCCAGAAAGTATTCTATCCATCATTCTGAAACTCCGCAGATCCAGTCCTCATCGCAAAAGGTAACAAAACCCATTGATATACCACATCATTGCCATGCATATCATGCCCCCAATCTGCATTCTCCTCATTATCGTCATCGGGATCCTGCAACTGAACGTGAGAAAGAAAACTGATGAAAAGTGCGAGAGAAAATACACCTCTGAAAAGGCGGTCCCATTTGAAGCAATGGAGTGTGTTGGAATGAAATTATGCTACGAGAAAGTCAAGCCTTGACAGATCCTCTTTACCATCTTTGTATGTCGGCATGAAATAGTTGGATCAAAACCTACGAATTCTAGCCACATCGTTTATATTTGGAGCTTCTAATTGTCAAAATAAGTGTTGTCGTGGATCCGCCATAATATTGCTTCTAGATAAGGAAAAAAAGAACACATTATAAACTCCAATCATATTTTCGTGATTAATTACATCAATCATATGTCGTTGTATTCAGTGTTCTAATCAAACGTTCAATTTGATTGTTGATGATTTTGATCAAAACCTTCAGAGAAATCTACAGGTTTTGAGACTGAGCGAAAGACAGTTGATGTCGGAGGAGGATCATCCGTCAGCGCAAAATTTGAAGCTTCGCAACGTTATTTTTCATGTGGAGAGTGGTTATACCCTTCTCTATATTTGAAGACGTACTTAGTATATCTTCTCCTTTTGTTTCGATAGTAGAAAACTGTTTTCCCAACAATTGTGTTTCCATACGCAAATACAAATGTCCCAAACCTCTCCGCGAAGAATGTGTAATGCGTGAAATTCACCAAATGAATCACCACTTGGTGAGATCTTAGACATGCGCTGGTCGCCTCACGAAAGATAAGTCCCACACTCACGGAGTGCTACTGGCGGACGGAGGGCTACGGAATCCTACTCCGGTCCTGTCGCCCTACTTTAGGAGGACAAGTAAGCGCATCCAAGTCAAATCAGAGTTACAAATCTGAAGGTTTCCAGGATAGAAATTCTCATCGTCGAAGGAAGTCAAGGCCCAGGGGAGTGCGGACGTAATCCTCTACATGCAGCACTTGACAAGAGTGGTGAGATCGAGGGTCCATTTACCTTTTGTGTCAGCTGAATCTTCAGCTACAGTTGCACGGAGACTCTGCTATGGGTCAGGGAATGAGTAGCCAGCGCTTGCGTCAGTGAGGCCCGTTGCGAGGCCCTGTTGCTTCTCTAAAGTCATCGGTGATCGTCAATAAAAGTCTCATGAATGGATGGATCATCGATTGATCTGTCCAAAGCAATGTCACCTTCTGGGTACACGTAGGTACACCGGTTCCTCTAACAACTCTATAACGTCCAAAAATAATTTGGAAAACTCTTCTGAAAAGCGAAGGGTTGATAGATTGGTTTTAATCGTGACGCTTATGCCTGTCTGCTCATTCGTTTCCTCCGCCAGAAACAAACTGGAAACAAAAATTAGCAGTTAAAAACATCATGACGAATAACAACGTGATTTGCAGGAACCTCAAAGGTTTAATATACAGCTGTGTCGTAAAACGTTGATCAAATCAGGCCCATTAGCCTCCAGTAGGTGGTATTCTTATGTTCTATCTGGCTCGTCGTAGTTTGACAACAGAGAACGTCCAGACGTGACACATCTTTAGATTTGGCATCGAAAGAAACAAAAAGGATAGAGCAAAATGTCAATTTTCTGGCGTGTTTACTTTTGAGAGCATATTTAAACACCATTTGAGAGGAGAATCTGCAAAAGATACTCCTGCATGCGAGATCAGTTCAAGGTGCTGAAAATATTACGAGATTCGAATAAATTCATTTCTTCTATTCATTCCCCATCTATTTTGAGTGCCCCTTCTGGATGTCCTGCCGAGCTACAACCTGTTCTTGAGGTTCTTACCCCAATACAGTCCGGATATCAGGTTTGAGCAAGGAGGTCAGCCTGAAAAATAAAGTACTCAAAAACTTGGAGATTGGATACTCCCATCACTCCTTTGTGGTACAAGGCCATCCAACCTACTCAGCAAGATGCTAACTGTTGGCAGAACACAGCATGTCTTGAGAATGATGCCTACGTCGCAGGACTGTCCTTGCCTCGAGATGGGGTGATGAAAAATTAATCCTGAGCTTCTTTCGCATACCATGGCTGTCCAGCTGTGGACGTATCAAAATGATCAAGTTGCGAAGGGAGATTGGTAGCAGATAACCATGACTTCTTCAGTGCTGGATTTATCGACAGCTCCCGCTTTCACAAATCTCCATCTCCGAGTCCAACTCTCCAATTCATGTTCATTTCAGCATAGTGGTTCTCGAGAAAGTGCCCATATTCTGGCTTCCTCACGAAGACTGAAGGGTCACTGTTTTAGAAAGGTTTGTGACACTGACCCTCGATCCAGAGGCAGCTTTCCTAATCTCATCAATCCGTATCGTGGAGCATCTGTCTCACGCATGCGCGTAATTGTCATAGATCACTTGGTGTTTGCTGTGCTATTTCTTCTTGCCCCTGTAGATTAACCATGGATGTTTCATCAGCTGGAGAAAGTCATATCCGTAATTTCCGGTAACACAGCGACTGTTAAAGTCAACGTTGTTATATTCTGACGTAGGCTTGAAACAAGTATGGGGAAGTACAGGAAAGAGTTAAACATCTAGCTAATCCTGTCCTCTGCCATTACTCCACCCTTCAATCGTCGATGATTGTTACAGCGAATCGAGTAGTGAAACAACCCCACAACAAGCATACACAACTATTTCAGACTGAACAAATGCATTGAAGATCAAGTGAAAAACTCCGATCGGAGAGAAAAGGGAACCGTGAGCAATGTAAGTTACGATCTTCTGTGACGGAACTGAATCGTCTCGAATGCTTTACAGCTCAAGGTTGTTGAATGATTAATTTACAACGGTCACCTGAGAGATTATTCTTAACACGGGTGAGATCCGTTGACATGCTTTCAATCTCGTCAAGCCCCAGGCCAGCTTATTAGTTTGCTCTATCTCTCCTCTCTGCTACTGACCGGATAAGTCAAGCTGATCAAACTAAACACCGCTCTGCTAGAATCTGGGACACCATATACACAACAATCGTCTATCACTACTCCAAGTTCCTCGGGCGTAACAAAACCACAGTTTGAGAGGAACACACAGCACATTCGTACTGAGGCCGGTTAGCTAATCTTTCGTACAGACTCTGACAACTGGAGAGGATGGACTGTGCACTGAACCCGGTACTGTGACACGTGCAGAATATCAGAACAACACCCTGCTTATACTTGAGTGGCATGGGCGATCAACTCACTTGGCAGCCTGCTTTTTGCAAAAGTTTTCAATCCATTCAATGGTCATACTCTTGGGCCTTTCGATGGGAAGTCCAAATGCGCGGTCCCATATGAGCTGAGACAGAACACCCATCGTCCGGGACACACCAAACAAAACTGTGTAATAGTTCGCTTCCTTGAGTCCGTAGTATTGTAGCAAAACTCCGCTGTGGGCATCAACATTGGGCCACGGGTTCTTGACCTTGCCCAGCTCCAGAAGAATCGGAGGAACGACCTCGTACAGTTTCGACACCATCTGAAACATGGGATCATTCGGAAGATGCTTCAAAGCAAATTCACGCTGGCAAGTGTACCGGGGATCAGTTTTCCTCAGAACCGCATGTCCGTAACCAGGAACGACCTTGCCACTCTTCAAAGTCTTCCAGATGAACTCTTTGAGTTGCTCCGTGGTGACGTCCGTTCCGATTTCTCGCACGATATCCTCAATCCAGCGCAAAACCTCCTGGTTAGCCAAACCGTGCAGGGGCCCGGCCAATCCGTTCATACCGGCGGCAACAGAAAGATAAGGGTCGGAGAGGGCGCTGCCCACCAAATGGACAGTGTGCGCACTCACATTCCCGCCTTCATGGTCGGTGTGAATGGTCAGGTACAGACGCATCAGCTCGTGGAATTTGGGGTCCTCGTACCCCAACATGTGCGCGAAATTGGCAGCATAGTCCAAAGTCGGGTTGGCCCCAATCGTCTTGCCACCCTTGTAGGTCCTCCGGTAGATATACGCGGCGATTTCTGGCAACCTGGCGATCAGGTTCATGGAATCCTCGTAAGTGGGCTCCCAGTACTTGCGCTTGTCGATACCCTTCTCGTACGCGCGGGCGAACTCGCTCTCGGTCTGCAGAGCCATGATCCCGGCGGTGAGTTGCGTCATCGGGTGGGCGCTCTTGGGCAACGCGTTGAGCACATCGAAGACGTGGCGCGGAATTTGCGATCGGTCCTTGAACTCCTGCGTCAATGCACTCACTTGCTCTTTGGTGGGCACCTCGCCCGTAACCAACAACCAGAACAGACCTTCGGGCAAAGGCTCGCCTTTGGGCATCGCCGCCGGAAGCTTGGCCTGGCACTCGGGGATGGTCATGTTCCTGAACCGGATACCCTCATCGGCGTCCAACAGAGACGTCTCCCACAGCATGCCCTTGATCCCGCGCATGCCCCCGATCGCCATGTCGACGGTTGTCTCGCCCAGCGAGTTCTTCCCGTACTTGGTCTTCAAATCCTTCAAGCGCGCTTGCTCTTCCGGGATCAACTGCTCCAATCGCGACTTGAGATCCGTGTTGTTCGTCAAATGCCGCACCCATTGCAGGTTCTGCGACGTCCTGCGTCCCTGATCCACGAGCATTCTCATCATCCTCACCATCTTCGCTCCCCGCTCTTCTGTTTCTTCCTCTTCCTCTTCGGCTCTCGCGCTCTCGTCTCGCTTCCTTTGCTTCTCTTCCTCGTGAGTTAGTCAATCAATCGCCACTGCCTTGCTCCTACCGATGCACCACCTGTTCTTATTGGATCGCAACCGCAACGAATTCCTCTGCTGCTGACACTGCCCGTGGCGCGCGCCCGATCCCCTGCGCTGACAAATCCTTTCTCGCCTGCCTGCCTGCGTTCGAAGCTGCTGCTGTGGAGCCGAGGAGGCCCGAAGAGAGCGAGGGGGGAAGAAGAACAAGCAGCCCCGCAGAGAGCAGCGGCGAAGGGAACGGGACGAATCCGGGGCAGGGGGGACCGAAGGACGGGGAGGACAAGTAAGACGAAGGACGGGCGGACGGACGGATCGATCGATCGAGCGATCGTTTGGTGGACTGACAGGTCCAGCGCCTATGGCTCAATAGCAACAGTCGGGCGGGGAGAGGAGCATGCGTCGACCAGCCCCGCCCGCCAGCTCGCCCGCCAGCCAGCCATCCACGGGGGCAGGCAGAGGGCAGGCCGCCCAGACACGCAGTCAAAGTCGTCCAGCTCCGCACTTCGCCTCCGACGTATGCAACCCTACTCTCGCCGTGGGATTCTACAGGTGACTTTCTCCACGCCTCTCGTTCCTCTTCTTCCATGGTTTGTGACGGAAGTGGGAAACGGCGTTCGTTTCACATTCCGGGCTGGCTTCATTATAAATATCCTCAATTACAGGTACTGTAATGGTTTTCGTTTCAAACTTCTCAGGTTTGGAAGGTGGGATGTCACAACAATTATGGTTATTCTTGTTCCGTTCCTGCACATACGTAGCGGAGTATATGTTTTCCTTTTTATAATTTCGGTGATTTATTTTTGCAGATGGTTTTATGAAGATACGTACGTTTGGCAGGCAAAGTTAGTCCATTTCCGAAAGGACATACAGAAAGGACAGGCACAGTGTTATTCTATTCGAACACAACTTGGATGTTCTCAAGTGGTTATTCGCCTCCTATGCATTTTGTTTAAAAGGCTTATAACGAAAACTGATGGAATAGACAGTCTTGTTGGTTATAGACAGTCACCATGTCATTAAACTTGAATAATTGTACCGAAACAACACCTCTAATGCCTCGGTTCCTATGATGAAGAGAATTCTGCTCTATTACTTCCGTAAAACCAGCATATGACTACTTCAAATCCTTGCTGGCGCGCATCTCCTCACTCCTGCGACATGAATTTATTTCTCCTTCTCCTTTTGCACTACAAATGAATGTGTGAGCAATTGTTCGCCCTTGCAATAAGAGGAAACTGGTGATCGTGAGACATGTTGTATACATTGTCATGAGTGAGATAACACTCACTATCTAGGTGTATCTTTCCAAAACTGCGTAATTGTTGGAAAGATACAGTTGTGTCTTAGAAGCAAGTTGTCAGCGTGTGACACTTCCAAAAAACTGTTGGATTGTTAGGCTTTAGATTCTGTTTTTTTCCAACAACAGAGTTCCATGCCGATGATGTTTCAACGTAATGTTACATGTGGCCGTTTTGCAAAACGAGTATCCCAGCTATGAAATATCGGATCGCATTCAGATGAACATTCAAAATTTAGTGAACCGACATTGAATATAACTTAGCCAAGGTTTGATCATCTCTGTTGATGTGATCATGACGTATCACTCACAGAGATTGTTGCTACATATGCGTTTAGAACCTCTAAGGCGAAGAGATGTAACTATTTGTGCTACTGCCAATTTCCGCATTGATCGTGAAGCACTAGATGACACCTTTTCTTTTACTACCTATGAGCATGCATAGAGCCTGAGAGTGGATGCATGTGTATTGTTAGTTAGTATGCATAACAGTGTTTTGTTAGTTAGTAATCACTTTGGTGAAAACAACTCAGTCGGTTAAAGTCCAGTACTCGTACACATTTTGGCATAACTTACTCCATTCATTAGACCAAAATTACCAAATTACTTCGTCCCTTTTGTACGGTACCCTCTGAACCCTAACCCATTTGTTTACAGCATAGCTAGTCTCTCGCGACCTATCTAGCGCCAATTATCCTCAACGACATTAGCATCAATGATCCTGGAACGATGACGCAATTTTAAAACACCGATGCAAAAGAAATGTCAACGATGCAATAGATATATGTTGTCCAATTAAATTGAGATTTCCATTGTGCATTTCTTTTGCAGGCTGGATGATATGATAACACCAATCAACTTGGTGGATAAGATCGTCTTTTTGGGTTGTTGGACATAAGAAATTGACCAGTTCCCCTTGTTCAAATCCATTAGTAAAGGAAGCCGGTGAAATTCCAAAAAAGACGAGACAGAATTTGTGAGCACTAAAGCAAAAAAACAATCCAAAACTTACTCCAAGGCAGTAAAGGTAAAATATTTCAAATCAAATGCGTCTCGAGGCGGACCAAAAAAGGATATAAAAACACCAACTCTACCTCTTATTAACATAAGATAACCACTATTCCCAGTCGTGAAGGTGTCTACTCAAGAAGCCATCCTCGATCACCGTACCCACCTCGACCACTACGTATAATGATCAATGATCCTTCTCTACGTGCCTGCAGATTGGGCACTGCATTGCCCCCTTGGCTACGTAAGCTTTAGCAATGCAGTCTGCAAGGAATTAAAAATGGCAAAGTTTTCTCCATATTTACAATGCTAACTTATGAACTACACGTACACGGAGAGAAACAAAACAATTGTAAGAGCTGCTCTAGTTAGCACTGGCATGATATAAAATCAATTTGTGTACATACCAAAATCGAAATGATGACGACATGGAAGTTTCGTGATGGATGTTTCCCGCCACGGACGAGGACATCCAGACATATGAAACAGGCAGGTGTCTCAGCTTCCTCTGATGTTCCTGCGACATCCTGATTCTGCTTCCCACCGGTGGGCATGTCTGACCGCCCACACATAGACCCAGGTGGTACATGTACATTCGCGCTAAAAAAGTCATAAGAAACTTTCTTCGCCACATAGTACCCATGAACGAACGAAAAGTCTTGTTATTGGCGACGACAAATAGTGGGTCCACTGTATCCGCGGCGAAGAACGAAACTTTTTGTTCGTTCATGATTTCCAAATCAACATCCTCCAATACTCTCTTTACTAAATCCCTTTACTGAATCTACGAATAACTTCTCGATGTAACCATCCATGAATTCCGAATGCAGTCAAACCAAATGACAACGTCGGATTCGAATTGGATTCAAGAGAAGGAGCCCGTCTTCTCTGCAGCCAAACTACAGAGATTGCCTCCACCAGAACACAAAGATGAATGTGAATAAAAGCAAATAGAATAATCAGACCAAAGAACATGCATAGTTTCGAAAGCAAAGCAAAGGATGAGCGGGAATAAGAGTTACATATCTACAGAGCAATACATATTGTATTGAGAGAATAGTTGTAACACGATACAAAAATGCAATCCAAAAATCCGACTTTTAATTTGAAAACTTTCAATAAAAGATTTCTGATCAATGAATTTCTTACGAAGCATAAAAATAAACACGATACATTACAAACTCCAAGAAGCTTTCAACATCTTCAAAAATTCGTTCTTTGGAAACTGCTCAGTAGAAGTTCTTCGATTACTGATGCTAGTTTGTTAAAACAGTTGAGCATGCATTCAAGCATTAATGTACATGAAAAAAAAAATCACATCTATAACTATCTTCAACTACTTTTGCTTCTACCAATGATACAAGCAAAATCTTTGAAACTAGTGAACCAGAAGTAAGCCCTAAAACACTCGAACATACAACCAACCATACGTACATACTTAACAAAATCTGATCTAGATTACCTAAATCTATTGTTAATTTTCACAAAAATAAGAACCCGAGTCATAGTCTTACCTCAGCATAGTCGTCCCTGCCCGGCTTTTCGCGTCGTCGCTCCTGTCTTCCTTGCCGTGCTGGTAGATTTATCCTCTCAAGATTGCTATCCTTCAACGAGCTGCTCTTAGCCCTACATAACAGCGATCGCCTCACTTGAAAGTAGCTGCGAGCTGCTCTCGCCCTACAGATTGGCGATCGCCTCATTTGAAAGCAGCTGCGAGCTGCTCTCACCCCTACGGATTGGCGATCGCCTCACTCTAACGGTACCCGCCAGGTGCTCTCAACCCTACAGATGAGCGATCGCCTCACTCTAACGGTATCCGCCAGGTGCTCTCAACCCTACAGATGAGCGGATCTAAAATGTGTTCAAAATACCAAAAGAACGATAAATGCATCAGAGAAGTCAAGCGGGAGAGTTCACACTGAAATAAGAATTTGCGTCAGAGCCTCACTGCACAGCACCATCGACCCTGCCCGGCTCCTCCCATCATCGCTTCGCGCTCCTCTCCAAGACTTGCCTCTCTTCTATTCCTTGCCGCGCTGGGAGATTCATCCCCTCAGGATTGCTCATATGTAGGGCTGAGAGCAACCCTGCTTAAACGTACCTGCGAGCTGCTCTCGGCAATGTAGATGGGCGACAGACTATCCCATCAGAATATCATATTGCTAGCATGGTTCAGTTTTTTCCAATCCCATCTAAAGCTGAAGCTTTTAATGGATACAAAGATGTTCTACAACACAGTAATTTCGTAACTAAAACGTATCTCCTTGCTATCACAACTTTGCTCTTCCCCGTAAAGATCTGTAATTCTTTCATTGTGGAACCTTCCAAAGGAAACTCATAAATGTCTATCACACATGTGAAGGTGATTTTGTATATGACAAGTCAATTTTTTTCATGGTACAAGTCTTCAAAATCGATATAAAGACCACCCTCGATCACGACGTCCCCAGCCCGACCACTACTGTTGGCAATCAGCCTGGTTGTACAAGCATTCTCAACATGCCTCCAGTTATAGCACAGCATTGCCCTCTTGGCCTGCAAAGCTGATGGAGTGCAGTCTGCAGAAAGACAAATTATGTTAACTTTCCCCACGATAATAATGCTCATTCATGAACTTGTTGAACATTGAGCAGAAACCCTACAATTGTAACAGCAGGTGTTATTAGCACTGGTATAATAACAGAATGAGTTTGTGAGCATACCCAAACAGAGCTGGTGACCACATTTAACTTTTGTGGTCGATCTGTCACCGCCGTCCACGACAACACCCAAGCAAACAATGCATGCATCTGTATGGGGTTGCTGTGAAGTTTCGGCTGAATCCCGAAACTACCCGTAGGAGGTTTCATGGTAGCCACGCCTGGCCACCCACTAAACTTGTAACCAGACCAAAGTCTTCTTCTGTGTTCTTACTTTTAGGAGTCCTCGATAACCCTCTTCACTACTTTCCCAGACCCAAGTTCGAATTGAGGCCAGTTTGATCCGCTGCCAGATTTAAGACTGTACTTTCAGTAGAGAGATTCAGAGATTCAGACGAGCATGATCCAGCATTCTCTTCACTGACTCTGCAAATAACTCCTCACCTCAATTATCCTCAATTAACTTGGGAACAGTCTCCGATCCAAGAGACCAAAGCATCACAACTGGCCGTCTTTCAGTTGAAAGAGACCAGATTGTTTCGGAAGGCTTTCAAAACAAAGAACCCCTCTTCCCTGCAGCCGCAAGCCCGTATCCTTCCCTGCTCCGTCTGCTATATCGACAGGAACAAATTGTGATATATCCCGCCTGTCGCAAAACGCCCATGAACTTCCATCCCAGTCTATCCCCGTAGCTACAGAAGCTACAAAACTACAACCTTGTAAAACATCATCGCCCACCTGCAAACACACGGAGGCAAATTAATGACAGATACGTCACGGTATCAATCTGCACTCCACAAACCCTGGTCGTTTTTTTAAACTCCCACTTCCATCTTAATTCTCGATCACGTCTCGGAACTTCCGAGAGGTGATGGAGAAAAGCGATTAAGAACGCAAGAGTCAATCCTTATTGCCCTTTTTTTTTGTCGTGACGAAAGAACGCCGCGTCCCCGCCACTTGTCTCAAAACCGCGACAACAGGAAAAACACTGCCCCTGCAGACGCTAATGGCCCTAGTAATCGCAGATCATCGGCTTAAATGCAGTAATCCACATCGGCTTCGTAACCAGTTTTTCTCATCATCTGCTCCCACTCATCACTCCCTATTCCTCTATCCCGCGCAGCCGGATAGAGGAAGACGAGGAGGATAGACCAGACGGACGAGGAAAGCATGCAAGCTTCAGTGCCGAGGAGGGAAGCGGAAGGAATGCTGATGACGTCGAGGTTTTAGAAAGCCCTACGAAAAGGATGGAAACCAAGCAAGATTCGAAACCTTCCGTGGCTCACCTTCTCCATGGCCTTTCCTTCCCCACCCTCTAATAAAGGCGGCAGTTCAGGCCAAAGAAAAGGGTGGTGACAACTCTAGGAATGTGTAATATTTTATTTTCGACCGTGCAAGCAAAAAACAATGGTAGAAATTTAACTCAACATCAGATATTGTAAGGTCCAGCACACATCACGTTACACCTTACATTTTTGATAGATATTTAATAGTAGTTTTACATGACCCTCAAATCATATTGTTAAGTTGTTCTAAAACATTTGAAAAGATACTCAGAAATACTCACTCCAAAATTCTCAATCAAAGTTGATTCTTAGAATTGAAATTCAACTAAAGTTGAGTTAGGTTTTTGATGGATTGAACAGAGAAGGTCTAATTTGTAATCATTATCACTTTATGACTTATAAATGTATGAAGTTCAACTTCAAAGATTTTTATGTTTCTACATATGAACTGGCAAAAATAGGCTCATCGCACTATACACTATATATTGATGATTTTAATCTTTGATGTATAGACAAGGTTATTGAATGTTTCACACCTGTAGGAAATATTCAATGTATTTAGATCTCTCCATCAAGGTTTTCGGACCAAATACAACCTCTCGAATTCTCCGTAGCTTGTGCTTATCCAAAGCTTGTGCAAATATTCTGCAAAGTGTGGACTGAAAGACGGATGCTCCATGGCTCAGTTGACGAGATTCTGAATTGGAAACTTGCAGGCATTGGTTTGTGTCACGGTCTCCATGTCCTTCGAGCCATTCAAACCTCCGACGTGTGATCATCATCTCCTCACCACCATGTGCGACAAGCCTAGTGTGCCCCAAATAGTCTTCTTCTATGGTTCATTGTACTTGATGGCCTTAGGAGCAGGAGGAATCAAGGCATGTGTGACGGCATTCTCTGCAGACCAATTCGACAACACTGATCCTGGGCAGAAGCAAGAAAGGGTGTCGTTCATGAACTGGTGGTGGTTCAGTCTGAGCGTCCGTATCATGGTCTCGGTGGCCTTCTTCCCATGGGTGCAGGAACAGTATGATTGGGTATGGGTCGGAGCAATTCCAGCCGGAATCGTTGGATTTGTAACTCTGAGTTTCATTATCGCTCATCCTCAGTACTACCATCGAACCCCCTCTGGAAGTGCTTTCACAAGAGTTCTCCAGGTTCTCGTGGCTCCTTTCAAGAAGAGAAACTTGGAACTGCAACCTGATCTTCACGAGCTGTTTGACCTGAGCCCGTATTATTCAGAAGTTTCCATATGTGGTGTTGCTTGACAGAGGTTGTTATTCAAAGTTCGCAAAGATCGATACGTGGCTGAAGACTCATGAAAAATTTCTCATCCAATCTAACAATTTTGAGACATCTAACCTCGAAGGTACACATCAGCTACGAATTCAATAAAAAGAGCTTTGCGTTTGTATACAGCTTGGGATCATGTAAGTGTACACTATTTGTCTGGAGCAGATCTTACGAGTCCCAGACTCATCCAAAAATGTTCGTTTCGTACCTTTTTGGTGACGAAATCATGATGAATTCAATTTTTCTTTGAGAAGAAATCTGAAAATCAGCTGGGATGGCCTTCATGAATTGGTTCGCTCCTTTGATGGTTCTCGGAACAACAGTACTAATGCTTATGGTACACTGGAATGGCGTCTACTCTTATACAAAACGTAAATCTACTCATGTTGCATTACACACGATCGTCTTGAGCATTGAAGGTGTTCTCTTAAGACCTCTGTTCAGCAAAGCAAGTTTTAGAGGAGACCGATACTCCGGCCAAAAGCCCAACTACAAGATTTAACCGGAACCCGTACTCTTCGTACCTCATAGTCAAATAGTTACAGGGGATTGTGAGTCATCAGGCAAATGAGACATGAGGGATACATACGTGAATTGTGTCAAGTGTCGCCTCTCTCCTCCTGTGATCTGGGAACCAATCAATGGCTCCCATTCCTCCATAGTCACACTAGAGTAAAGCGATACTGTCACTGGTTGCTACGCCACATCTTCCAAAGAAGGGGTCTCTGTACCCTCCTTCCTAGCAAACTCCGCATGAGAAACATCTCTGGCAAGTCCTCTCGTCACATCCCATGAACTCCAAGGATGACGAATATCTCGCCTGTCGCCCCCAACCATTGCCACTATCGTCTCGGTAGGCAATGAGCAAACAAATAGTGTACTAACTACCAAATCAACGCACAAACGGCGTTGTTCAGCCAAACCCAAACTCACAATCCACGTCAAGCAGTTCATGTCCATAGCTTGACCCAAAACCTTACGACGCGAAGCCTCTGAAACTGAAGATGCGGCGGTCACACCAGTAATAAACCCCCTGGCATGCTCTCTCTCGTCAGCGTTGGACTCCATCAACTGATGTAATGCAGAATTTCACAGTAGCACAGGTCCACGATCACAATATGCATGTGATGTTGGATAATAACCAATGTGGGTAAAGCCATCCGAGGCTGACCTACGCCGTTCACCAACGCCATAGGTGATCTATCAACCACTCTCACCACCTGAGAATGTCGAGAAGCATCCAAGATACTGTCAACGATGAATGTAGGATCACGTTGCACAGAATCATAAGCATGACGCAATATCTTTCGTGGCAAAAGGTTGGTCCACCATAAACGTGCACGATGAGCACGTGATCCAACCCTGGTAGCCTCCAACAGTTCTGCTGACCCAATCCATGCTCGAACCTAATGGACACTCGCCATCAACTGGGCCGAAGTGTCACCCAACAATGGTACGTTCTCTAGAATGTATGCTGCAGAACGTGTTTGCTGCACCTAAAGATGACGTAATACTCGCAACATCTCTCAAAACATCCGAGATCTGAGATCATGCAATCATGTTCCATGTCCAACGCATGTGTCCTTACATGGCCATCCCGCAATCACCCTATCAATATGGCCAACCTGGTCAAGGTGTGGCGCCTCCAACAATGAAATGTCTAAAGGCAACGCCTTCTGGTATCCTCGAACAGCTGATAGTGGCAACAATGAAGGAAAACGTTGCATCAACTGTGCAATATGTCATGAAGAAACTCGACGTGCAATCTCATCCTTCTCCACATATAAGTATCTGATTCTTGTAATGACAGAAAAATACCAAAATGGAGCATAATGGTACAGATCCGATCCCACAAGGACAAAAATAACCACAAAAGTCACGATTTGTCACAGATTAGCATTCTATTAAGGAGTTTTACTTCTTAGGCCAATGCCACTCCCAGAAGACACTACTCAGCTAGAGCCGAAGACCTGTAAAGTAGTTTGTAACCACAATCACAACCTGAAACTTTTCCAGTCAACACCTGTGGGAATCGCTTGCGATCACACACTCATATTTCAGGGGGAAAACTTCCCAACATTGCATACATCCCGACACACTTACCCGAATACCCAGATTTGAATTTGCTTAAATCCCAAGGAGCACTCGGCTACTCAGAACATTCAAGCTGAATACTCACAACTTCCGATGCGGTAACTTCGACAATCAAGAGCGCACTGCGCTCGATGCCCAGATCACACACTAGCACTCAGACACGCAGTGGATGCAGGTTTACAGTCAAGACAAGACAATGAACAGAAAAGCCCCCCAAGGAAAGAGACTTGGGACTCTTTATTCACAATGGCAACTCTGGAATATCAACCGTCTGAGGCGAATCGATCTCAGGGGCTGTGTCGTACGATGTAGCGGTTACGGTGTCATCTGAACTTACATCTACTCCTATCCTACACAACACATTTACAATCTCTACTCGGACATTCTGGCGCGCCTCATTCAATCCCTTTGAAAACGAATTAACTAACTCTATAATCTGTTGGTGTCCTGCGGATCCACTAGTTTTGGTGCTCATCAACTGTCGCTCAAGCAAATCTAGCTTCAGCCACTTCAACGTTTGCAATCTCCACATCGCGAATCCGTTCAGACACTTCTATAAACGCAACTTCAACTCGTCCCGTAGCTGACAGTAGACCTCCTCTGCCTTCTCCATTCTCCTTTGCAACTCTTGCAATCTCATATCCGCTTTGCCTAACTTCTCGTGCAACCGTCGACATTCCGATTCAACCTTCAATTTACATTCGACCTCCGAAGACTTGGCCGATTCGCAAACCGTCAATTTCTTGGCCCAATTCGCCAACTCCTCTTCATGCTTCTGTACTCCCTCCGCCAGACTTGCTGATAGCTCCTCCGCACGTCGGAATTCCATCTCGCACTTACCCGCAATCTCCAAAATCTTGCTACGAAGATCTTCTTCCGCCGTCTTTGCCTCTGCGATCTTGCCCCGAAGTTCTTTGGCGATACGAACTTCTTCGGCACTTCGGCCCTCCAACTTAGCAAGTTCTTCGACATGTTTCTTCTCTCGCCTCTCCGTAGTTGTGATTAGCCGCTCCGATCGTTTTACTGCCTCATCATACGCTTCTCTGGATTTCTCCAACCTCGTGAGCAAATCTGCTAACATCTTCTGCCCATTCTCGTTAGAGACACGAAGTCAACCTCAGGTTTCCTCCAACTCTGCACACCGTCCGGATTCCTTCGCTAAATTCAGTTGCAGCACTTCGCACTCGATCTTCTTCTCCCGAAGCTGGGCTTCTCACTCCTTCAATGCCGCCTTTGCTGTCGCGCACTCGGCTGCCAAGATTGCAGCTTGCTCCCATGCCATCTCAGTCGCGGAATCCCACTCCCTCTTCACTGCTACTGCTCTCTTGAACTACGTCCTATTCCTCACTATCTCTACATAAAATCCTACCTCCTTGAACACAACATACTTCTCTCTCTCTTCCTGTCCAGATATTTCAGTAGGTAAACGACAATGTCTTGTAAGAAGTTGAGAAATGTAATCTCTCCCCCCTTCGATTCCTCCTCCGAAGTCTTCTTCTCTTCTTCGGATCTCACATCTTCCAGATGAAATGACTGCAATGTAATGTCCGCGGCATC